AATAATCTGTTATTAGAAACGTCAAAAAATAGGCAGTATAATTCGCGGGCAAGAAATTTAAATTAAAATTCATTCGTTGCCACGGTAATTTGTCAAAAAAATACGTTTCGATTGGTTAAAAATTAGAGGTGTGGAATTTTCTTAAAAATAAAATACAAACAACCTTACAAATGCTTCATTTATTAATAAATATAAATTATTTTTTACACGACCCCATCAAATGTTTAAACGTCAATTGAAAAGAATACTTTAACATTAATGTTATTTGTGTTTAACATATTTTTGAAGTTTAAGTATTCAGATATTGTTTAGCGATGGCCTCACAATACTATGTGTTCTAACTGCTTTCTTTTCGATACGCTATTAGAAATATATAGAGAAAGGAAAAATACAGACATTTGAAAATCATTTGACAAAGTTGTCTGTTGTCTACTTTGCGAGAATTTCTTTCATTATTATTTCTTACTTAAGTAATGTCTCTACAAGTAGGAATACGAAGTACGTAAACTCTGAGGTGTATTTTTGAAATGTTTATAATTATTTATCATTGTAGTAGGCTGTGCCTGTAAGAATGATTAATCATGTAGTCAAGGTGCTTGTTTGACATTTAAATTCGGTTCTTCGCGTTTTATTAATTTGGTGTTTAAAATATTCGAGAATTGTTATTTTAAAAAAGAATGGTCGAATGAGGAGTTGGCAGATATGCATTTTGACTGATGGCAGTGTGCCGGAAGCCAGGCTATTATATTAAAAGCGTTTTCAAATTTTCATTTTCCAATGTAAATAGAGACTGAAACAGGTACTTTGAGGGCAAATAGTTATTTAAAAGGGTCCCATCGGACTGTAAGAGCTCCAGAAATTGAAGAAGCAGTTTAAAATTGTATTGATGAAAATTCTGAAGTTAGTACTAGAAAAATTGGAATATCTCAGAAAAATTGATTTTCTATTGTACACATATCATATTCAACGAGTCAAAGCATAACTGCCCAGAGATATTGCCTTGAGTGTTAATTTTTATCAATGGTTTTTTTACAAAATTGCGCATTAGCCCTTGTTTGACCAAAAAATACTAACGTTTTCAGAAATGCAATCAGAAATTTCAATCAATCAAATCTTGGTTAAAGAAGTGCCATATTTAATTTGGGACAGAAAATGATTCATGCATTACGGCGCGCCTGCTCACTTTAGTGTAGCACTAAGAGAATATATTTAAATTACACATTTAATAACTGTTGGGTAGGTCACGGCAGACCTCAATCATGGCCCTCAACCATAGGTCCACAGATTTAAATAGTTTGTACTTTTTCTTATGGGAGCATCTTAAAATCCTGGTTTATGACACCCCACTTAACATTATAGAAGAACTGAAGGATTGTATAAGAACTCCCCGAGATTTAATAAGAAACACTGGAGGTATACTTCAGAGTGCGCGGCAATATGGGGAAAAGAGCTGAAGCGTGTACCCCTCAAGGTGGAGGACACATTCAACAACTTATCTAGTTTCTGTCCTATTTTTTTTCCAGAAAGGTTGTTATTAACTTATTAAGAATCGTGTATTATTTATCTTGTTGGTAGGATGTTATGTTATTTCATTAAAACTGTAAAAGCAAAGTCTTCTATTTTTTTTCTATAGGTTACTAGTTGGTAACTAAAAACGAGAGATTTTGTTTTAGATAGATATTTTATTTTTTACCAAAAAAGTTCTCGATTCAACCAGTGCAGTGGCGACCTAATTAACCAAAATATTATTTGTTCATAGATAGTCAGTGGCAAGCCAATGATTTTCTTAAAAAAATAATGACATTTGATCTCTTAATTTTCTTTAGTCCGTCGCATGGTTTTAACTTGAAAATTAAAAAACTAATTTCTCTGCATGCTGTCATTAACGATATTGCTATGACGATGCAGAGAAGAGGTTTTTATTTTTTTAAGCGAAAACTGTACATCGGATTGAAAAAAAAACAAGAAATTAAATTTATTTAAAAATGATTGGAGATTGTAAGAATATATTTTTTTAAAGAGAAATCAATGGCGACCATCAATGTCTGTCAAAATAGACAGTTGAAATTCCTTACGCCCGCCACTGATGAATTAAAAAAAAGTGGTACCCTAAATAATGCCTCTTGATATATAGTACACGCGTGCCAGATTTCATTAAAATATCTAAATCTGTACCTCAAAAGTTAAGACGTTTAGGACATAAGTTCATATGAAATTTTCTTTTTAAAATCGACCTTAAAATAATTACCCTGTATAGTAGTTCAGTAGAGTAGCTATTGAAAGCTAGACTGCGCCACTACAGAAGTCTTTGGTTAGTTTCGCTGGTTGTAAAATGTTGTTAATAGATATGTTGTTTCTTTTTTCTAATAAACACTATTTATTATTATTATTATTATTATTATTTTAATTATTCAATATTTTGGTTAAAATACCTGCACTACAGGGCAATCTGTCACAGAAATCTATTTTGATTAGTTTAAAACTATTGATGTGGAATTTTCTAAAAATAATTTGTTATCTCTCTTTTACCTGTCTCCATATACTGCTAATAAGACGTTGAATTTAAGAAATCCTATCTAGATGTATACAATATGAAAAAATTCAATTGACTATTGCAAACTTCTTTAATACTAGTATTTTTACACTGATTAAAGTAATATAATTAATTTATAATAAAAATAATGATAAGCCTATTTCAGTTTTCTCCAGTTCACTTAAATTTCATGACATTTGGTGGCATTATTTTTATTTTATTTTTTTATTTTATGTTTTCTTTATACATTTTTAGCATGAGTTTGACATTAACATATCTTCTATATTTTACTGGAATGTTGCTTGACTAGGCAAAAATGCAAAACTAAGCTAATCGAATTAATTTAAATTTATCTTTAATATTTTTTGAAATGCGAAATTTGTGAATGTGCGAAAGTGTTGAAGGTTTTAGTGTGCAAAAAAAATGCGAAATCCCTAGTTTCCATAGATCTAAAATTTAAAGTTATTATATTTATTATATTTTGTTTATTCACCGACTCATTAATTTGCAGATGCTTCGTATCATTTGGATTAATTCAATTTGATACACGCAGTTGAACATAACACTTGCTTATCAAGCCTGCCTCCGGCAATTCAGAAGGTTTAATTTTAATAGTTGCGTAATATGTCGTTCGTTCGCACGTTTATTTTTAAAGTTGGCTTTTTCCTAAAATTAATTGTTCGTTGCGGGTAACAAAACAAACTCTCTAAAACAATAACCCGCTTTCAACCCGCCGTTTTGAAATATCTGATAACAAAGAAATTCGCTGAACTTGTTCATAGTTTTTTCCAACGAGACAAGCTCGATAAGCCCCAATAAATTACGTTAGTCATCGTCGTAAAAATTTTTGATAAAAGATTAGCACCTCGCCATAAGCCAGGTAACGCTTCAATAACAACTTAATACTATACGGATGTTCGAGTGGCCTTGAGAATCTTTGTATGGATTTAAAAACAAAATAAATTTGTTTTGCATATTTTTGCTACAGCGTACAATGCAAGACTAACCAAAAAGATACCGCGTAGTGCTCAAGCATTAAAAAAATGATTTAACTTTAGGCCTAGGCCTCAAACAATGTCCCATCGCTAAAGAGCTTATGATTTCTTATGATCGCCATATTGAATTTTTGGAGTGTTGAATAACCCGTACTATTACTTTTTTATTGATGTATCACAAGTTGTATTTGTAAATTCGAAATATCGAACAAAAACTTTTATACCATAGTAAGCTATGAATTTTCAAATCCGTCCTTGACATTTTAATATCAAGGTGCATTACTGTGTATTTAAAAATGGACTTTACCAACGGAGAAAAACGAAATATGGTAAATCTTTACAAAAATGTTAGAAACAGTGTCAAGGCATCGGAAATGTATCCTGAAAGACATTGAACTTTGTTTAAATTATTGGATAGAAATCTCACTGAGTTTGCTTCGTTTGAGAAACTAAAATAATATTATGATTATACAATTAATGTGAAGCTTCAGGATATTTTAAAAAAGCTAACAATAACAATGGCTATACGCAAAGATAATAAATAAATTACAGAAGATATTCAAAATGTTCGTGATTCTGCAAACAAAGTTCTACTCTTCTCTGCATGTTATGTACTGCGTGATGTATTTCCAATCTGCGTAATCTCCTAAACTCTCTAAAGATGTTGATTTGGTATTCTGGTATTCGCCCCGCCCGTAAATTCTATTTTTAAAATGTGTCGGGGACACTGAGATCTGGAGACGTGGTTAGCCATCTCACTGGTCCATCTGTCATCAAACCTTGTCGAAAGATAATCAGGTACCTGTATTGTATTATGAGGCGGGGCGCCATCTTGCTGAAACCACATGCTGTTGTAGTGGATCCAAGGTAAATCATCCAAATAGTCTTCAAGCGTTGACGTCAAAAACTGATAATACCATGCTCCATTTAGAGTTGCGTTAAAAAAATGAGGACCCAAAATTTTGTCTTTCCCACACATTAAGACTAAATCGAACTAGTCGAATTTCTCGAAATTGCCTAGGGTTGTTCATGCTCCAGATATGTTCGTTGTTTCGACTGAATATTATAAATAGTATTACAGTAACCTGTGGAAGTTTTTTGAAAAATGTTACAGATGGTAACAATCATTTAACAATTAATGCAGTTACTCTGGAGTGTTCATATAATGATCTAATAAAAGCAAAAAAAACATGTTTGTATCAATATAAGCATACACTTAGTGAGGAACAAAACCTGACTAGGTCACTGATATATCCACATTATTGTTCAACAGTTTATTATCACTATTTGACTCCATATAATAAAATTACATAAAATTGATCTGTTGGTGTCTTCAATAAGAGGACTTGGAAGCCAAGGTCTTAAAATGTGTGTTTATTTTGGAGTAAGGAGTAGAAAAAAACCTTTGGCACCCATGTTTTATGGGAATCTTAAGCCGATGGATTGTTAATATAATTTTATTTCGGTTTCAGTTCGTCGTACCTGGGAAACCATTACTTCGAAAATGTAGGCTACTCACAATGAAAAAATGAAATTCGCCAGCTGCATTTTGAAGACCGCAATATGCATAGCGCTAGACATCGTGTTTACGTTGTCGGTCGTTTCACCAAGTGAAGACGTCACCAAGTTAACACAGTTCGGATGCAGGTGGTTCGGTGGTATTGTCGGAATGGTATCGTGCAACTGTACTTCGGATGCTGAAGAGGTAAACTTTCTATGATTGATTGTCAAACGTTTAGTATGTTGGTTTAACTTTCTTTTAGCTCCTTTCTGTATTGTCGTCGTTAAATAGATCATTTCTTAAATTCAATAAGGATTTGTTAAACACTGTTGCCCAAAAACAAACCCACTGACTGAAACGAAACTATATTATACTCTTCACGCATTCTTTATACACATTTCTTTGTACTGGTTTGCTCGTTTTGGGTATTTGACAGACGACTAGTTTGTCCCGTTCACAGCTGACAATAGTTTAAAAGTTTCGTTAAAAAGCAATTAGCTATTATATCAACAAGTTATTTGTTCTGGCAAAGATTAATTCAATTGTTTAAAAAAATTAATTATTATTAGCAAATTTTTCTTTCGAGGGAAAACGGCTCCAACAAATTCGGTATCATGTTAACTTACTAAGTGAAGGGGCTAGATGTGCTAATTTTGCAGTAACAATGTACAACTCGATCGTGAAGTTGATTTGAGAAAATATAAACATCGTTTGTTCAAATTTAACTTGTTAAAACTGTTTTGATCCAGTTAACCAATATATTTACCAGAAAATATTTTGAATAAATTTGTATACAATAGGGACGTTTTATTTTTATTTTATATTATATAATATTAATAGCTCTGAAAAATATTTCAAAATTTAACTAATTCTAATTAATTTTACATCACAAAACGTAGTAAATAAAATTAGCTATTGAAATCACACGAATTTAAAAAAAAGGTCCACGGCCGTTTAATAGGACATAGATCGTCTCTCTAGCACGTAATAAAAAGTTAGCTGCACTAAATACCGACTCCTAAAATATTTATTATTCCTTTAATTGGTAACTATCTATTTTAATGGGATGAAGACCTTAATAACTGCGATTTAACAAGTTAAATAGTTTAAATGTCGGTAGTCGTTTATTGGACACCCGACGGTTGCCTTTGAAACGGGGACAAACGTTCGCGACGACTTCAATTAAAAAATCTAACATGTTGAATCTATACCATATTTGGGAATTAAGTAAGCATATTATTTTTTATGTATTTTAGGGTCGTTTTGACTGATTGTGCATTAGCAACGATAATAATAAATAATCACTGCTGCAACCTGAAATATTAAGTAATTACATAAAAAAGTATATGCTGCCTCCATGCACACGGTCACAGAGTATTTCCTTAATTACTGTATCAGATTGCGAAATGCAAAATAAAGGTTCGTCCAAAAATTATTCAGATTTTCGATTGATGCAGTGAAGAAACGAGTTTGTGTTTAAAAGAAAAGAAAAGTAAAGGTTGATTTTATAGTTTTTATTCTGTTTGTTGACAAACAAAAATTGTCTATTCAAACAACAAAATATGTAAATATCATCATAACGAATAGCATTTTTTTTACATTCTGTAAAACAAACAACAATTCTCCGATGCAGTGACATATTGAGTCTTGTTCTACAAGTATTTAAAGTCGCTGCCCTATCCTTGTCTTTTTTTAAGTAAAACTTTTAAAATAAAACGCAAAAATGTCTAAAAATTTGACCGAATTTCTGAGACTGTAAAATTTCTTATCTTCTTCCTATCTTAATAAAAGTGGGGGAATATTCCTGAATGTATCTAATTATATAAGTCACTGTATCTTCTAAACGACTTTTCGAATAAATTGGTAGATTTTGATTTTGTCACTCAAATTTTTATCATACCTTATAATTTTGATATTGTAAAATTAAGATGGCAGATTTTTAATCAAGTAGGGACAAATATAGACCATTATGATTGGTAAACAAGTATTTTGCTCATTAAAAATCTTTGATTCTTCAATGACGGTTTTACTGGTGAAAAGAACAACTAATAAAATGTTCCCTGGCAAGTGGCAATTGTCTCTTTTTAATCCATATTGTATAGATTTCAAATGTTTGAAAAATTAATTACATACTGATTATTTAAAGGCAATATATTCAAACTTCTTATTAATATTTCGGATGGATAATTCCTAGGTTTTTTTAACGTTGTTCCTGGACAACCATTGTGCACTTTAATAAGAGGATCCAAATTAATTTTATATGTCCTAATCCCTGTCCCCCGCCCCCCATTTTTTACTAGGTCAACTAAGTTTAATGTAGCAGTTGGTTTTGGCTAAACTGAGTTCAGCATTGAACTGAACCAATTTTTTTTTTTGGTTGTCCAATACTTAATATTTAATGTTTATTAATATTAATAACTTCAAAGGAAATGTGAAACAACTTTTTAGTGTGGAACGATACACACTTGATCATAAGTTTTTATTTACCACATTTTATAATTGTATTTGTAAGGGAGTAAACTGTAAATGTCTAGATGGCAATAATCTGCTGTTTCCTATTTGATCCTTTATTTAGATTTTCATATTTGTTCATAAAAAATTTTACACCTCGATAAACCAGAGCCAGATTTCTAATGTCTGTTGATTGAACATCTTTTATGTATGTCGGAGATAGTAAAATAATAAAAAAAAATAATAGAATAGCCAACCTTTGGGGGGGGGGGGGGGGTTCTAGATCAACTACAAAATAGCCAATCAAAAATAAACCATTGGACCTACTCAGGACCTACTCAAAATCGGACCTAATGATTGCGTCTCTAAAGCCAGAACACCTTCGTCGATTTGCGTTCCGCTTATTTACGAAACATACCAAAGTGCACAAAATTGCGGACGACAGAATGATAAATATTTAGGCTAGAACGATAAATAATTTGTGTCAAAAATAAACAATCCAAACACCCAAAACGAAATATGAGCGAGTATCTACTACTTAAAGTTAGTTGACTACTCGACTGACAAGCAATTAACCTGTTACATACTTGATCGCAATTCCGCAGAACTACGGTTCAGTTGAACCTAAATTAAGCGACGTGTCCAACCGGGCCTTAGTAGCATAACTTGAGCTGCATGTTTAAATTTTATAAGAACCCGTAGCGACTTTTTCTTTTTGCAGATGTACATCGAGCCGAACTCCATCCCTGGATTCGACACCTCGATTATAGAGATAAACAGATGCCCCAAAGTTCGCTTCGCGCCGCACTCGATCTCCGATCTGCGCAACCTTCGTAGAGTGTCCCTCAACTCGATCGCGTCGGTATCGTTCGAGGAAAGCAGCATGAACTGGTACGGCTATCGGGACGTCGGCGGCCAAGAAGAGCGGTTCGACTTAACAGTACCTTCGCTCAAAGTGATCTTAAGAAACTGCGTGGTGGAAAAAATCGCATCGCAAGCCTTTAGCGGACGCATCAACGAAATCTCCTTCGAGGACGTTACGGTGGACGCGGTGGATTCATTTGCCTTTTCCAACTTGCTCCAAACCGAAAACGTAGCGTTCAAGTACACCACGTTCAAGGACGTCAAACCGCAGGCCTTTAAAAAGTTCGGCACGGAATACCTTACGCTAGATGGCGTCAGCGCGTACTTCGTGCCGAGCAGAACGTTCTCCAACGTGAGCGTGCACCAGAGATTTTCGATAATAAACTCGAACTTGGAATCGGTAAGGCCGGGGGCGTTTTTCATTTACAACCCGTCGACGTTCGAAGTGATCAACACGCGAATCTCGCAGCTCGACGGGGAAGCTTTCAAAGTGATGACGCGAGGAGACGTGGTGTTCAGAAACAACGTGTTTAACGACATTCATGAAGGAGCGTTCGTGGGTATCCGTTTGAACAGGGCAGAGGTTACGGGTTCGCACAGTATAACCTTCGATTCGAATACTTTTTCGACCCTGAGGAGCGGCTCCCTGCAGGTGGTGGGATTCGACACCAGATTCGCTAACTTAAACGTCAATCAAAGCTGCGACTGCGAGCTCGTGGAAGACCTACAGCTAACGCAATTTTTCAACGACGTCAGGTGTTTAAACGATGACGTATATGTGACGGTACGTGACTACGCGTCGCGGAGTTGTTCGGTAGTAGCCGGTTATACTACCGTCATAGTGATAACGTGCGTGGTGATACTCGCGGTAGCCCTCGCTTTGATCGGCCTCTACGTATATTACAAAACCGTTTATTTGAGTAAGAAATACGAAACCGATAAGGTGAGAAACAATCCGGGAAAAATCAGTCTGATCGTGCCCGATGGGAAAACTTATAAAGAAACGGAAATACATGTGATATTGGAAAAAGCTGATCTCCTCACTACGGAACTGTAACGATGACGCTAATTTGTAGTAGTTTGACAAAAATCCTAAAGTATTGTGTTACACCAAAGAAATATCATGTCCATGGTATTGCAAAAATAAAAACGAAAACTTCGACTAAAACTTGTTACTTTCTTTCTTATCTTCGTGTTTGGATGGTGACGCTTACATACTGCAGTCAGAGACTTGCTACCATTTTTAGATGCGTTCCGATTTTTATTAATTCATTAGTTTAAGGTAGGTACGTTAGTATATGCAATCCTAAAAACTACATTAAAATTCAATTTGTAAGGATCTGTTGCAACGTGGCTGTTAGTCATCGTGTTATGAATGGTAGAACCTACTAGAAACACGGTCATAAAACGGCCATTCGTAAAAAATGTACTTAGGAACATATAATTATTTTGTTTTAATGAGATCGTATGCACCGATGATAGAGAAACATCTGATGCATCGGCAACATGCTACAATAAGGCATAAGAAGTATCTACCTAATTAGATAGTTTTAAGTATGGAGACAGTAAATACTTACATTGTGCGCAGCGTTTGAAGGTAAAAGCGGTTTCGCCGCATTTTTTACTCGGGTGAAATAATCCGCAAAATTTAAATTAAGGGCCTGCTTGCAGTAATGAGCTAAATAAAGATGTCATGCTATGATGAAAACTGTGAATGGACTTTAGTATAGTTTGTGTTGTTTACGTAAAAGTACAAGTACCCAGTAAACTAATATTTTCATTATGTTATATTTCGTGTAATGAGTTGGCAATATGTAGTAATTGTAAAAATCTATCGAGTAACAGTTTGACAAAAAGTTTTAAAAAATGAAAAGATTTTATGATTTCCGGTTTGCTGCAAGTATTTTAGGTAATAATTTCTCTCTGGCCATCAAACTGTTGCCTACGAACCTTTTATGCATAATAAACAAATCTTCGGCGCAACCCATAATAATTTCATAGACGTGTAAGTATAGTGAGTAGGGGAAATAAATAATTTTCAAATTTGGAAAGTTGCAGTTTTTGGGTCACTCTGTATTCTATATCGCTTTTTTAATATACAGCTTTTAGAAAAAATAAATAAGTTTCCGGTTTGCTTACGGTCGAAAATATTAAATTTAATTTACCTGGTGATTTTAGAAAAGACTATATTAATTTGAAGGGAGGTTATAAACATGTCAACGTTATAAATTAGTCGAAAACATGAATACGGGACTCTACACCAACGCCATGGCCAGGTTTTCCAATAAGAGGTGTTATTTTGAACAACCCGCTATTACGGTAGGTGTCACTTTTGAAGCTGTAATTTGTTAACAATTGACAAGAAAAACTACGCCATTAATAAAAATGGAAGGGTACACGCTTCCACAACGCACTGAAATTATTAAAATTCATTATAAAAACGGTGAAAATTTGGTAGTTCGGAGACGCGTGCCACACAAGCAATGAAACCATCGATCTTTTACAGAAAAAGTTACCGCACTGTGTTTTTCTCGAAGAGGTGATCACAATTGGCCATCGAAATCTTGTGATTTAGCACCTTGCGACTTTTTTTTTTTTGGGATCACAAAGATCATAAAGTCTGCGCTAACAGCGAATCAAGACCTCAAAGATGGAATACGTGAAGCGTAGCCATCTCGCTGATATTGTTTTTCATTATTATATTGAAATAAACATCCGATCATTTACTTCAGAAAACGCCATTTTTCTTTGACTATCAAAATAACACCTCTCCTTGCAAAACACTTCATTAAAATGGCGGGCACAATACATCTATTGGTATGAATTTCCGTTGCAAAGCGATTAAATTTTTGAATGCATTCATATGTTGTTTACTGTAATCGATTGCCTGTGTGTACAAAACAAATTAAACCTTAATTTTTGATTATAATCGCCCTCTCAGGGTTTTCGTTTATCTATACGCTGTTATAGTAATAGTATAGATTGCATTATTTTCGTTCAAAGTTAGTAAGGTGTCAGTCCAAGTAAATTGCGACCAATGAAAAAGCGAAGATCTCGGTGGGTTAATAAACACAAAACGAGTCCGAACCCGCCTATATTATCTTCTTGCGGTTCTAGATAAGCGGTTAAAATTTTCTGTTACCATCACTAAAAACACGGCAGCAGTTGTCTATCTTCGCATAAACTATTTTTACACTAAGCCACTGCTTGTCCGAAAACGGAAAGGAAAAGCGAAAGAAGATTTTTATATTCAGTTTTTTTGTATAATGAGTTGGTAATATTGGTTGGTTGGAAAGAAAAATAAAAGATCGAGATACAATTTGGCAAAAAAAAATAAAAAATAAAAAGATTCAAAAAATCCTGAGAATTTTTCGAACAATGGAACTTGCTGTAACTGTTTTGTAATCATTTATCTCTCGTGCAATTCTATTTTTTTTTTTAATCGAACCGCTTGCCACGGGTAAACCTAAATTTCATGTCTCCGCGACCAGGTCAAAATGAGAAAAATTCCCTAATATTCTAAATAAAGTTGGGTTAAAGAACTTTGCAAATGTTTTACGTAGAAAGCAGGGTACATCTTAAAAAACAAAGAGGTTTCTTTTTTTTTTTAATTGCAAGTTTTTAAGATATTTTGATATAAGCAGTTTAATCAATAATCAAAAATTTGATTCTGCTGAACTTACAGACGAAAATATTAAGTTAAGTTTGTAATTTTCGAAAGAAATATATAAATATATAAATTGTTTTGGGGGAGATTATAAATGTCAGACGTTAATCACTACGTTTGAGGTTAGCAGAAAATTTAAAATGGCGACCAAAGAACTGCAACCCTAAAACGAAAAGATTTGGTACGCGTATTGCAGTATTGTATGAGTATGTATGTGTGTAACGTTATATGTTTTACGTTGACAATTATGGTGAAATAATCACCCATCTTGAGAGCTCCACAACACGAAAAAAATGTTGTTTCGCGTAATATACTTATTTGTCCAACCATAATTTTGATTATTTTGGTTAACCATTATAACAACTTCTCGAAAAGAGAAAAATAAAAGGAAATGTAACAGAGAAACAGCTGTTTTATGTCATCTCGTGTTGCTCTATTACGGTCATACTGATCAGCTGAGTTTTCCATGGAATCTGGCAATACTAATGCAAAATATGGAATTGGAAGATTAATGAACCATTGTAAATTATATAGAAATTGCTGTTGAGAAGTATAAATATCCCTCACTCACTTATGTTAACCCCATATCAAGAACGTTTCAATTTTTAGGTCTCCACAGAACTAAAATTGAAAAATTGAAGAATTGAAAAATTTAAGAGATCCTGAGAATGTGTGTGTCTCTGGAGCTTGCTGTAAGTGCTTTAGGTAATCACGTAAATAGGTAGGGTAGGTCGACTTGGGTTAGAAAACTTATAGCTTAAGGCACGCAAAAAGTTTGGTCAATTCCGCAAGCCTCACATGACAATGCACTTACCTGTATGGCAGCATACCATCCAAAGCCTGTGACACGGTCGGTGGCGAGCTCAGAGCCAATCCTTTCGATAACAATGAATTGTGATCGGAGAATATCTGACCGGCGACAACTTCGGCAGTTTCCACGTCAATTTCGCCTTCCTCTGTAACCATTACAAAATACGATGACAAAACTATCTTATTTATTTATTTACTTATTTTTACTAGCAATTCGTTGAAGTTGACTAGTTAGTCACAATTAAGCAAGTCAAAATCATATTGATATAATTCCCTACAAGTATTTTGAATAGTAGTATTCTCAACATTTGGTGACCGTGACAGGACAGATATAGATAATGAGAGGACTAGACGTATTTAGTCAGGGAACTAATTTGACGCTACTGGAAGTAAAGGTAGAGTCTTAGATAAGTAAATGATTCATTTGTCATTAATCAGATTGCACTGAACAAGCACTGATTGATCATATAATTATAACAAACTTAAGTTACAAGTAATGATCAGGTCACTGTTTAATATTTAGGTAATTTTGCTAGCCACCCTGGTCCCATTCGACTATGCCCAATAGAACAAACCTTTAAAAAGTCTAATTTAGGAAATTCTTCAGTAAAATAAACGATTGACTTCTGCTGTTTTTCTGCAATGACTGAAACCGGGTTAAAATTAACCCAATATACACTTTTTCCTTAATATTTAAAATATTTTTTCATTCTGAGAAATCTCCTAAAATACTCTGTTAAAATATAAGTAATAACAACCAAAACAAAAATTACTACAGTTTAAGAATAATTCGCATTTTTTTGATCTGGGTCATATATGAACCAGTTTTGGTATTCTGTGGCATTCTATGACATGAATATGTTTGTTCCATATTAGGCATGATTTTTAAATGAATTGATTTTCAGAGTTGGCGCAGAAGCGTCAATACAGCGTGGTAACCTGCTTATGCGCAGTTTGGTTGTATTGGCCGTCGTGCTACTGTGTGCGCGGTTGTTGCCTTCTTTGTTGCATATTTCAGAAGACATTGTGTGAATAATCCAAATAACTGTGGTTATGTCGTACCAAAGCAAAGGCAAACTATAACTATATTTTGTTAAAAAAAATTAGCGACCAAGACAAGTCATGAGCTCCTCATACTGTTTGTTCCGTTTGCGTTGAAGCATTAAAAAACTGCCCAAAAAGGTTGAAAGAAATGTTTAAGCTTTGATGTTCCTATGGTATGACGAGAGCCTAGGAATCACAGTGATGATTGTATTTGTTGTTCGTGTATTGTTCAAGGATCCAACAGAAAAAATAAGAAACAAATTCGACCAGTTCCTCATGGACCAGATGTACCGATACCTACCGTCCTAAAACAACTACAAAACGTCATATCGTCAGAATCAGAGGAATCTAAGTCCGACCCAGGTGACTCAGATTTCACACTAGATTTCAGAGAGCCCGAAGTGTTTAACCAGAGCGAATTAAATGATTTAATTAAAGTTTCGTACCTTCCAAAGGACGCATCCGAATTGTTAGCGTCCAGACTTCGTGACAAGCATTTAGGAAACATATTGCAACAATATTCCTGACTGAAGTAAGCGTAGTTTAAAAGAACGCTAGCGAACTGATCTCGGTTCCCGTGGCACATTCGGTAAATTTAAAAGAAACGGATGAAAATTTAGGACTTTTGAAGAAAATAAACTACCAAGAACATCAGAAAGTGAATGCTTTGTGGTAACCTTAAATTGCTATGCATGCTCCTAGGAAAACATCCTCACACCTGGTAGCAAAAATGTATTAAGAGATAGCTTACTTGACCCCAAAAAAGTTCAACTGCCTCCCCAACATATCAAACTTGGCTTGATGAAGCAGTTTGTTAAAGCCCTAGACAAAAATGGACAGCGTTTCAAATATTTATGTGAGAAATTTCCAGCCATATCTGATGCCAAAATAAAAGAAGGTACTTTTGTTGTTGTACTGAGTTTCATTTAAAGAAGTAATTCATAAGTTACTTGGGAACTCTAAGGACGAAAACTACGAAAGTATGGTTCAAAACATGTTACATCATTTTCGTCGCGTAGGCTGTAATATGAGTTTGAAAGTACATTTCCTGTTTTCTCACTTGAACTACTTTCACCAGGAAATTAAGGAAATGAAACGACAATACCAAGGGAGATGAAGTATAATGATGATGGCGGACTACTGCTGGTTGTTAAAACGGAATGTGTCCTTAAAAACACACATTCGAAAGTCCTGGCAACGCAGCTTTCTGGCAAAAATACGAAGATTTCACTCAAAAAAAAAAAGCTGACGTATTTCTTTAAAAGTTTTTTTAACTAGGATTCCACTTTTTTTTTACTGAAAAAAAAAAACAAAAATTATAGTAAAAATATCGTTTGTTTTTAATATTTGCAAAAAACCTTACGCGATACAAATAAATGCATAGAATTTTTGAAATCAGTTTTCAAAATAAAAATATCTGTCAAAAAATCTATTTTTTATACACATGTGTTATTAGTTGAATAATATATAGCAGTGAACTTCTGAAATTTCTCGGTAATTTACAGAGTAAAATGAGACAAATGTTCTGCTTTCGTTGTTACTATGATTGAATCTTGTTTACTAAATCGTGCAAATGAGTACGTTGCAAAGTGTTATTTTGTTGAAGACGTGGAAAAGCAGTTATTTATTGTTTTGAAGGAGATTAGTTTTCACAATTGAAAAAGTCATAAATATATTCAAGTAATTTGGATGCCTAATACCAACCAAATGCCTCCATTTGGAAAGAGGTCTTTCGTTGCCTACTCACCTCCAACGACAGGCAGAAGCAAATCCTTCTTCATTAAACTCGCCGAGCACATCCCTCCGAGGAACGCGAGCTCGGCTTCCAAATGCCTCAAACCGGTGTCACAGGTGGAATCCGGAGGCCATTCGTATCCGATTACGAGACACTTGAAACCGTAGGCGCTCGCCCTGTCGTCTTTCAAATAATCGGTGGCCGTTTCCAACGAGAAGACCACCTCGTTACCGGGTAGAACCACCGCGTTCGTTGGCCACTGCAAGCTAATTACAGAAAGAACGTGGTATCACATATCCGTATCTACATTTGAATGATACATAGTGCCGGCGGGACCGCCTTTTAATTTTTGTACCATTTTTGTATTTTTTTATTTTTATTGTTATTTCTTGTTTATAAGAAATTACATTTCTATAACAGTAAATCCGCATCAGACATTACATGAGCCTTCTTCTTCTTCATGTGCCGTGACCGTCATCGAACGCTGGCTATTATATTGGCTATCAAAACTTTATTCACGGCAGCTCTAAATAAGGCTGTACTTGACGTATGGAACCATTTCCCCTAAATTTCGAAGCCATGTATTCTTCCTTCTTCCTTCTGTCTTGCCCTGCATAATTAAGTGGAGAGCATTATAGCGCTCATGATGTCGCATTACATGCGCAAAATATTCTAGCTTTCTGGTCTTAATCAATTTAATTATTTCAGGTTCTCTATGTAGACGCTCCAATATTTGTTCGTTGCGGATTCTGTCAACCCAGCTTACACATAGCAATCTGCGGTACACCCACATCTCAAAAGCTTGTATTCTTTTCAGCAGTATTTCCGTCAGCGTCCAGCTTTCCATCCCATAGAGCAAAGTCGAGAATATGTAACATCTCCATTTGCATAGCACTGTCTTCATTCGGAAAAAAACAGCTCTAGCTTTTTCTATAAGAATTTTCATTTCTTGGCTCATATCCCAGTTGTTGTTTATGTTAGAGCCTAGGTACACTAGGTACACTCCCGTCTACCGGTTGTTAACTAACAATCATACATTTCGTCTTTGAGGTGTTCAGTTTTAGTCCATATTCGTTACATACATCGCAAAGCATTTGTAGTTCTTCCGGAGTACTGGCTAATAGAAGAATTCATCATGAGCGTCCCTGAAGATGTACTCAGAGTACAGGTTAAAAAGCAATGGCGACATAATGCATCCCCAACTTACACCCCGGCGAATTGCCACTGTGTCAGAGATGTTTTGGTCAATCCTAATGATTGCTACTACCTACTTGCTGGAGGATTTCCATCAGCTTGTCGCAACTGACCTTGTCTAAAGCCTTCTTAAAATCAATAAAGCACATATAAACGGAGTGGTTGACATCTCTGGTTCCATGTTTATTACGGAACCCAAATTGAGTTTCACTAATTTGTTCTTTAATTTTGGTGTAGATTCTGTGATGTATTATTCGAAGGAAAATTTTCAGGACGTGACTCATTAAGCTAATTGTTCGGTAGTCGGAGCATTTCCTCGAGTTACCTTTTTTGAGAAATGTCACAAAGGTTAATTGCAACCAATCAGTTGGTATGAGTCCCGTTTCATATATTTTATTGAAGAGACATAAAAGTGACTGTTTTCAAAAAGTTTCAGTATTCCTGAACGTATTCCATCCGATCCCGTTACTTTTCTATTTGTTGCGGATTTTATAGCCTTCTCTTATTCGTCTAATGATATACTAGGCTGTATCGTAAAGCTGTAATAAAGGTATTGTTTTGGGAAAACTCCACCATACGGAGAGCATTATACATTGCGCAAGTGAATAGAAGATGGTAAATTGTTTCAAATTGTTTAGTATTATATACAGAGCAAATCTGATCAGGTTTAATGAAGCAAGCGGCTGAACAAGAAAAAACGATGTTTTTATTTTTATTTTTTTGCTTTATTTTTCAACATAACCTTTAATTTTAAACGTAGATTCAACAAGCTCCTCAAAATACCGATTTACAGCTTCACTAACTTCATTGTTGCTCCTAAATCTTTTACCGCCAAGCAATTTTTTGAGATTAGGAAACAGGTAATAGTCGCTGAGAGGTAAGTTTGGAGAATAGGGATGTTGCGGTATCAATCCAAACTTCAATTTGGGGATTTTGGACATGACAACAATCGACGAAATGCGCAGGTGCATTATCGTGATGAAACAAAATTTTTTTCTTCGCTGTTTGATTTGCACCTCGTGCTTCAAAGGTTGCAATAACTCTACGTAGTATTGACCAGTGATAGTCTTACCCTTTTCAAGCTAAGCAATGTATATAATTCCTCTCGCATCCCAAAAAACAGTAGCCATAACCTCCTTTGCCGATAAAATTGTTGTAACCTTCTTTGGAGTTGGTTTCCCCTTTTGCAACCATCTGTGTAGTGAGGGACCCCAGTGTGTTCAACAGTTGAAAATGTTTTTTTGAACCTTTTTTGCTCGAGCATTAGCAAACGCGACACCCACTTGCTCACCGGTTTTTCATGGTCAAATGGTTGTGCAAAATATTTCGCACACGTTCAGCTACAGGTCTCAGCTATTTCATGCACTTTCAACCTGCGGTCTTCCCACACTATTTGATGGATTTTCTAAATCAATTTTCTCCCTACTCTCGTAATTGAAATGTCTAATTTTTGACATAAAAACAATCTCACAAAATTTCAATGTGACAGCAGGGCACCATGTGATATATCTTTTTAAAGATCGTCTCATATTCTTTTCGCATACCAATTTTGAAAACGTTTGATTGGTCAGTTTTTGCAAGACAGTCAAATGAATGCTTGCAAATGTTCTATTACTTACCCATTACTTAACCGTTGCCTAAATTAAAAAGATAAGTAGTTTCATCATTTTACCAACTATTTTATTAAATGTCGGAATCAACAATATCATAATGTGATAATCTCGGAAAACGTGGATTTTCATCGGATCAATATCTTACATTTTGTCTGTTTACTTTGCCATTCAAATAAAATGTTGATTCATCACGATATTTTCGGTCCAATTCTGAGGAATGTTGACAATGGCAGCGATAATCTCAACTTGTTTCTCTTCCGAAAATCGTTTTCAAAATATCTTTCATTAAAAATTGTAACTGATTTATATATATTGCGATTGGATTCACTATAAATCACAATAACTTCAGTTTTTTACTCCAATACCCGCGAATAAACCATTTTACTAACAAAATAAAGAAAAGCGAATATGCAAAACTAATGAAACTTGAATTATTTTCGAACAGATGTTAAATAAAAAACAGTTTAAATGAACTTGTCACACTGACAAAACTATGAAATATTTTGACATCGACAAGTGAAAGTAATCTAACATGACCTGACACTATAATGCTGTATTTACACCCAACATTGCAATTATTAATATTATTTGTACTAAATTAAATTGCAATTAAAAATGCATTTATTTAATTTTTTGTCTCGCAAAAACTGACAAATGTTTTCAAAATTGGTATGCGAATAGAATGTCAAAAGGCGATTAAGAAGAGACATCGCATTACCACCATTTAAAAAAAATACTCAGTTTTATGCTGATCTAAGATCAAGTCCGTCGCGGAAATATCTATGATATCACAAGTGCGCACAAAAAGGTTCAATTTATTTTAAGTAATGTCGACATTCTTTTAAATATTCGGGCTCCATTCAAAACTTATAGAACGACAAAAAACATGCACCGCGGTTAGGTAACAAGGATAGGATATGGATGAAAATAAACGTACCAAAATTGTAGCTGATTTTAAAGATTATAAGAAATTTAAAAATATGTTTACCGCTGCAGTTAGACGGGAACAGAAAACACAATCTGGTTTACTCTAAGAGAATTAGATCTCTTAACTTCTAACAAGCAACTCAGTAATTATTAATATTTACTTTGTTCACTCTATTTCACAGCTCGTAAATCGTATAAAATTACAACGTGCAAAAGAAATTGAAATACTTGAAATTATTAATGATGTTAAAACCAAAGCTGCCGTTACCTACAATAATGTATCTGATATGGAAGGTAAACCGGTACACTTTAAATATCAAAAAATTTGGGGTTGTTGATTGATTCAAAGCTAAGATTTACCTCACATGTTCATAACTGTGTAACAAAAGGGTACATGAATGTAAAACTAATTTTTTAACGTAGACATATTTGCTGTAGACCCCTCAAATCGATACTTTGCGATTCGTTAGTCTTATCTCAAATGACATATTGTGATACAAAATACAGAATACAAAAGCTACAAAATTGTTGTTTACGCTTGGTATGTGGAATTAGCATATTTCAACATGTTAGTCACATTCTAGTTAGAACCAACTGAAAATTATTTTCCTTCTTTCGCCAGTGGCATCCGATAAGCATGACATGTTTATGAATATAATATTTTTAATAATTAAATAATAATATTTTTAAAGTGTCTATTCACTTCTAACTAAAGATGACCTTATGACTTATCCAAAGGAAAAGTAGTGCATATGACTAGACGCTTATGATTTTAAAAAGGAACCAGAAACCAATTCTCCAGTCCAGTCATTGTGCAGTTACGTCATGGCATGACTTTTTTATTTGGTTCATCACTGGATGTCGTACACAGCACACGGGAATTTTGTGTCAAAAAGTGTCAAAAGCCGCGTCACAAACAAAATTTTTTAATTTAGCGGATAAATAAATCGTTTCAAAATTCCCGAACAATTTGGCCTTATTTTAAAACTTGTGGACTATTTCAATGCGGGGAAACCGCTTTTACCTTTTAACGTGTACGGTACACAATGTAAGTGTTTACTGTTTCTATACTGAAACTGTCTCATTTTATGAATGTTCAATTTAAGTTTCTGAAAATTATTAATAAGTATGCAATGCTCAAAAACGACTGACATTTTTGACAAAGTACATGAAAAACCAGAATGATGCCTTTCCATTCAACCCAGTATTTTTGGACGAGACTTGGATATTTGGTAAAGGAGCGTCTAGAAAACGCTGGCAAGACGATACGAATAGTTCGAAAAAAATATGGTGAAGGAGTTCACTATATAATTTTACATGCTGATTGCAGGAAGACTTTTTCTAACTTATGAACACAGATAAAAGTATTGGTTTTGCACCACGAAAACTTTCATTTCTTCAATACTAATATGTTTTTTAATTTAAAAGGTGGTTCAGTCTACAGCTGCTGCCTACTCTTGGTGAGCCTTCATTAACAATAATGGGCATTGCATTGTATCACTGTGGACTTGCTGGGCCAATACCTAATCAAAGTTGGATCAAGCAGTTTCTCGTCGAGTGGCTGCAAATAAGGAATATTCTATTTCAGCCAAGTTTAATGAAAGATCAGTCATGGATGTTAGTGAACCAACATTTGCCAGAAAAACTGGATAGGTAGTTTTCCTACGTGCTTTTCTTTGAATATGAAATTAATTCAGAATATAATCTTTTAAGAATGGACAAGTTAGTATTGGAAAATGGCCATCCCGGTTTGAGGCTTCCACTTTATCATTGCCAACTCAATGCGATAGAGGTTTGGTTATATCAATCTGGTCAATCTAATACTACACTGCGTTTACGGACTAGTTCAAGTAAAACAATGATAATACTTCTGACGAAGTATTCATAAGACTTTGTTTAAGTGAGTCTTTCCCAGTTGTTATCGATATTCATGAATCAGACTAGGAGGAAGATATAGGGAGAAGACTAGTTTGTGTTCTCCTTCTTTGCTCTTTGCATTATTGATTTTCATTGTTTTTGTTGTTGAAGTATTGGGCGATTTCCAAAAATAAACCTATCTAATTGATATTTGTTTTCTTCCATATTTTTGATGCATTTTATTCTGTCCTTTCGTACCCCACTGAACCAGTTGACATTTTGGGAGAGTGACCGTGTTTTTAGTAAGTTTACCATTTATAAGACGATGACCAACGTCAATGTTGCAAAAACCATAACAAAATAGAATTTTAATTTTGTTTTTAGGATTAGGATTTAAACTAATCAATTAATTAAAAGCTAAACGCATCTAAAAATGGTAGCAATATAGCTAAGACATACGAATCATTTTTGATTACGTCACTATACGCGAAGAAACTGCACAACTGCTCTGATTGGAGTTTAGCTAAGACATACGAATCATTTTTGACTATGTCATTATACGTGAGGAAACTGCACAACTGCTCTGAATCCAAGATTCATAGACTAACAACCAAATGAAAATTTTGGAAACCCTTCGTCAGAAGCCACAAAGTCAAGACATATTTTTACTTACCACTACTTCGTAATACTAAAAATACAATTTATTTTTGAAAAAAAAAGGCAATATAATCTTTTTCGAGAAAAACTTTAAAGCCTCTGGCGAAAATAGGAGAAAAATTTTCACAAGGAAAAAAGTGTCTCTATGCATTTTGGACCACTACCAAATTTTAACAAAACATCTAAAGCAGTTCCAATGGGAATGAGGAAAACCCGTCTTTATACCAACATTGATATAAATCTTTTTTGTTAAAATCATTCAGAAAATAACATTCTTATCTAATTATGCATAATAATTCAATGAGTTTTTATGATAAAATAAAATAAGATCATGTAATATTTTGGTAATATGCAAAAGATGTAAATGCTTTCATACACAAGATGATCCCTGTTAAAAATCGTCAAAATATATCACAAGCACTTAGTTCATAGGAGGAAGGAATGATTAAAGAACCTCAAACAGGTCGAAAAATTGAGGAATAATATTAAAAAATCTGCTATTAGAATTAACATGTACGACAAGGCACAGAATACCCAAAGAATGCTTCACAAAATCGAAATCGCAACTTTTGCTTGGGACATTTAATAACTCCAATATTTTTATCGCCATCTACGGAAATCTGGAAGAATTAAGTAGCATTTACCTGCCACTAAATTTATGCAAAACTGGCCAGTAAGGTAAGGACGGGCAATCGAAGTTCTCGTTGATATTGCTCGCGTTTTCCTTAGACGGGTTGAAGTCTAACGCGGGTATGTAGAGCTGGAGAGAGTCTTCGGGTTGCGCTGTGGCGCACGCCTGATCAAATTCTAATGACATCCACTTTACGGTATCCGGAAACGATACTCTGAAAAGCATACAAAGACAAAGGTTAGAACAACAAAAAACTAAATAAAACAATGATTCTCTGGGGTTGGCGCTGACAATCATTATGAATTTATGTAACGGAACTTTTAATTGTATAAATATAACCGAAACAAGGCACACTGCTCATACACAAGAGCACTGCAATGCGTAATTCACAACTGTACTGCTTGCTAATTTTTTTTTTCGGAGTCTTGCTCGTCTTGTATTGCATCACTTCAGAAAACAACAAAATTAAACTTGTTCACATGGACCTTAACAGTAGTTCTAACCCAATTTGCAATGTGTTAAATGTTAAACATTAAGCAAACAATTTACTTTCCTGTGATAAAAATTATAGTGGGACATTTGGCAGAGTTGTTTCATTTCTTTTTAAAAAAGTTTTTCCAAAATTTTGTTTGTACAATCATATAATCTGCCAAATAAATAGAAAATATTATAGACTAAATATTCTGAAGAGGCAGCTGTACAAATTTATGTTATCCATACAATATTTCTCTTATTTGTGTTGTTGGTGTTCATCTGAATGTTAAATATCTGTCCATAGGTTCATATCTCTTGTTGTATCAAGGTGGATAAAAAAAAAAACGATTTCTTTTGGACCTGTCACAAAAACTAGTTGCCAACTACCTCTAGTACCACGTATGGAAATATTATCTTCATTATAGTTTCGCACTTTTGCTCTACAGAAATAGGCTCATACTTTTTCAATAAATCGAACCAAAACAAACACAGACCAATACTTTAATGCATTGTTATATCACCAGCTGATCCAAAAATCAACGGTTATCAACTCTCTATTTTACAGAGCAGTAAAACTATCTCAACCCGAGTCACTGAACCCACAAATAAAACACCTTACGTCTGCTCTTCTCTCCAATCATTTCCACATTAGAGAGATGCTCCATTACAAATTACACTTTACCACCGTCTTCCAAAGACAATGAGTCCGAAGGCAACCCCCACACTTGCCACTGCCTTCCTTAGATTCAAAACATCACTGACCACACATTAAAAGTTCTTAAGAAATATAACGTCAAAACCAGATTTACCACTTTTCCACAAACCTCTCAACATTTTGGATTTGTCAAAGGCAAAATTCCGTTTGAGATACATACCAGAAGTGTACAGCATTCTATCCATATGCTGTAAAGAATAGATTGGAGAGAAAGAGTCTTGAGACTAAGACAGATAAATTCATCAGCAGTTACCGAACACAATCACGAAACCGGACATAAAATTTTATTGAATAAAACTAAAATTTTTGCATGTAATCAATTCTTCTATCTTCTATCAACGAAAAATCCGAGAATCTATAGATATCTATAAGCAACCAAACAACTTAACCACCACTCATCATCTCAGTCATCCCTTACTAGAATAATAGTTTCAGTTGGACTCTGAAGAAGCCGACAAGCGACACAGGAAGAATCCGGAAGTTTTTTAAATAGTATTACAGTATCCTGTGGAACTTTCGTTGGAAAGTTAAAAGATAAAGTTATAGCTTGTCATAATGAGCCTTCCTGCAGTCTAGTAAAACCTTCAGAAACCATTATTTTAACACAGAAAACAACTTGTATAACCATAGAGTTCAGCTGGTATTCACACCCCTTGCATAATGGAATAACAAAGCAGATTTTAATGCTCTTGGTGAACGAGGTCTTCTAATATTTGTTCCCTGATTTAAAAATCTACTTCTAGAATTTTTTCAAACTTTTTTCTGGTGTTTCCTCTTTGAGAAATAATTCCTCACCTGTAATTGGCCACATTTGCCGGCTTGTAGGGATGCTCGCTTTCCACCCAAGTGCAATGGTTGCTAGTTGTTACAATTTTGTTGTCATTGGAGTCCAAATTTGAGGTGTTCGAGTTGACTAAGGCGCGGCTAGAGGTCGGCGTGTCCATTAGATTTAATGCCGCCACGTGGGGCAGTAATTCCTGAATCAAGCTGAGAATATGAACTGCACTCTAAAAAACGTTCATTTAAAAAAATCAAACAATTAAGTTGAATGGCCGAATTCGATTTACTTTTGGGTCGCTAGATGCCAGCGGACTGATGTGGGCCAGAACCAACGGCAGCAACGTTTTGACAATACGAGACTCGCTCAATATGCTTACTGACGAGACCTCATCCGCCCTTTCGCGAGCTAGCATCATCAGTTTACTAGCTTTCTGTACTATCGAGCTAGTCATCGACAACGCCGCTTTCCTGGCTTGAAATTCCAATTTCGATGCCGTGGTTTTTCCACATTCTGATGGATTACTACAATGATAATAATAATAAATAATCCCGACATGTATAAACTATAACTATTCAACTATATTTTCCCCAGTAAAATACACATAATATACTATACAGGGTGATCTAAATTAAGTGTTCATAATTGGTAATTTTGTTATGAGTAGAGATACAAAGCCGGTTAGATTAGCAAACTAGTAGCATTTTTCCACTAATTGAGATGGTGAAAAATAATTTAATGTAGGCTTTAGGAAAAAACGAGGAAAATGTACTCTTTTTAAATAGAACACCCTGTATATTTTTTACTCTAACATTCGTAAATCACCGATGACCCAATTATGAGCACATTTCTCTTTTAGACTAGACTATATATGGCTGAAAACCTAACTAATTTAACTATTAAAGTTAAACAGCACCTCCTACTTCAATACATTTTAGAGCACGTTTTCCTATTGAGCGAATTGTATTTAATATTGTTCTTCCATCTATTTGGTATGTTTTCCCTTATTCCAGCGTTTGGGGTTATATGTGGTGAACTAGGAGGCCAAGGAATAGGTCCATTTGTAGTAATCCATTTATTGCTGAAAATGTTTTGTCAAAAATTGATATGTCCCTCGGAAGTTCTGAGCTGGTACGCCATCTTGTTTTGGAGACTCTGCCCACTTATGAGGTCAAGCTCATATAAAAAACCATCCATAATGTCAGTAATAATTGCAATGTATTGCTCACCGGTCAGCGTGCCATCGTAAAAATATGGACCACCAAACGTTAAAGCTGAAACGACCAATATTGATTGTTTTTTCGATTATAAATTCCAGATTTTTTATCTTTTGGCGGCAAAATTTAACATACAAATGGCAAAAAAAAGTGTTCCCTCTGCATCTCCTGCCAAAAGCACCCGAGCTGGTCCTTTGGACGTAAAAGTCAGCGTCTTTGACCATGTATCGGATAGAATTGTCACGATATGCTTTAAAATATCCAAGAACACATTTTCAGTTTTAATGACATTGTTTCGCCTCTCTTTTTGCAAAAACTGTTTCATAATTTATAAAGATTCGGTAAAGGGCAGAAACAATTGCTCATGTGGTGGAACGCGCTGTGGATATAGGTTACCCTTACAGACGACTGTGATACAGTAAAATTAATTTAAGTAATTGATAACAATTGATATAACAATAATAGCAATTAACACTAATTTTGACAACTAGTTTTTTAATTGGCACGGCTGTTATTATTTTACACAGCATTCTTTGAGTAATAACGAAACCGTTTTTGCTAAAAGGAGGAGAAGAAAAAATTTTATAATAAATGAAGACGTAGAAATTATGATTATTGTTATAAAAGCAAACTTAAGTTTTATTTCGCAACCACTCATAGCCATCTAGTCGGTTATTTTCAATTGCATATGACCTTTTTTTGTTTTGTTAGTGAATTATGAACGTTAGAGTAAAAAATATAACAAGGTGTTGCATTACATTTCCCTCACTTTTTCCTAAACCAATTTTCCTAAATCAGTTGTTTCTCTGTTACCAATGATGATGATTACCAATGTTGAACACTTAATTTAGTTCAGCCGGTATTACAGAAGTCATTAGATAATTTCATCAAGTGACGGAGAGGACCTTCAAATTGTCTCTTGGTATTAGATGATGTCATTAGAGTCCAATAATGAGCGACATAGTTTATATAAAAATTAAAATAGATATACTGTCAGAAATGCCTTCAACAGTGAGAGAACCTTAAATAGTTCTAATGATTCAGTCCTTGTGATAAAAGTCATTTATAAAAAAGTGAAATCTTCCATGTATATTTTCCAAGGTATAATTAAAACAAATAAGAAAATGAAGAATAATCTCGAAGTATTAGATTTAAGAGTTTAACAGTGAAATTTTGCAAAATCTCTGCGATATACTTTCAGAAATACCTTCCTTAAATATTTCAAATGGTTATGGTTCAGTCTGTGTGATAGAAACCGTTCATAAAAAAAGTGAAAAACGAAAAATAACAATCATGAAGTATTAGATTTAAGAGTGGAATGTTCCAACTGTTGGTATACCTGACAATCATACAAAAACATCTCTGCGAAGTTGTATTGGTCGCAAATTACATATAATATTCTTTTCTCAACCTATATTATAGTTACGCCCTCTAATGGTAGGAATTCTTTATATTGACTTTTTGAAAAGCTTCCCAAAACTCTAATAATTGAGTGGTACATGGTGCTTTGAAGCTACCACTAACGAGAAACTACTATTTGCAGACCTGGATTGCTCGAGCGTCGGTTGGTGTATAAATCGAATTCACTGACGTAACCTCCTTATGTACAGTTTCAAGGGGGCGGAGCTCACCAATAAGTGTACCAGTAATCCGAGACATTGTTCTTGCCCCTACTTTAGCTCCGCCCCCTTGTGTGGTTATACAGTATGCGAGCCAGCTCTAGTTAATACAACAGGATGATTGGCGAAACGTTAGCAAGTTCGATTTATAAACAGCCGACGCAGGAAGAATCTAGAACATTTATAAATACTATTAAGGTAGCCTGTGGAAGTTTCGTTGAAAAATTAAACGAGAAACGCGCATGGTTTCGAATCTCACCTGTAATAAAGTAAGATCGGGATTTGCCCGCGGGTTAGAGTGGTGCCGTTGAAACTCAACGAGCAAGTGGAAAACGTGAACGTTGTGTTATCCGATCCCTTCACCGAACTCAAACCACCATCACCATTGTTAGTTCTACCACCGTGAATCCTTAACCGAATGGCGTATTTCACATTTTCCTGGTACAGAAAACAACTTTGTGAGCGAGTAAATTTGAAATAGAACACCCTACAACTTTTGCATATATGTTTTTTTTTAAATTGAAAATAGGTATGCCTGGTTTCTCTAAAATGTTTCTTCATTCAAATCTGATAACTCTAGAACTGGCCATCCAAATCACCTGCACTATGGGATGCATAAAAGAACAACTCTCCTTTTTCTAGCCCAGTGCAAACTAAAGAGGAATTATTGAATTGGGTCAACGATGCTTTTAGTACTTTAAATCCAGACGCTCGTAGAAAGATAGAACACTAAAGCTTATTAAGTGCTTGAACACAAATGTAACTTGTGATGACTTCGTTTATCTTCATTTTTAATTTTTTTGTGCTTCATGTTTTTAATGTCTTTCACTAATTGTTACAGCAGTTTGCTGTGTTTATTTTATTTCTGTGTATGTGTATGTGTATGTATCAACCAGTGTCTTCAAAATTTCGGCTCCAGAGATGAAAATCGAAAGACCAGCTAGTATAAAAGTGGTCACTTCTAGAGTCTCCAAAATCGTTTGTGATGTCAGTAAAACCAAAAACGTATAAAACTTTGTCAAAATGATTACTAACTAGAAGTAAATTTGCGTTTTCACTGACTTTTGATAAAAAATATGAAATAAGAAGAGGACTGTTGAAAATAAGTAAAGAAAAGGAATTAGTCAATTGACGAAAAATTCAATTTTGCGTCGAGTCGTGTAATAATATACAGGACATCTTCGCATATGATGCAATTGATTGGTAAATTTAGGAACGGTTCTGGTTTTTTCATTTACCATAAAAATGAGAGAAAAATGGTTTAAAGGAGTATCATTCAAAATATAAGAGCTATAAGATATCCAAGAAACTATTGGGATTAAGTATAGGGGAATCTTAGGGAATTTATCATGAAATTAACTCAGAAATTCAAAAATGAACTGATGCACCGGATGTTCCTTTAAAATAACGAAGTTATTGCTTTAACCATTAATAACAATAATATTGACGAATTAAATTTGGTAGCAAAAGGTTAAGAAAGTCAAAGTGGTACAGACTAAAATTTAGCATTAAATTAAATGAAAGGAACAGACAACACTTGGAGTAGGAGTGGAAAGGAATTGAGAGATAAGGAAACGTTTAACAACGTAGAAACAAGAAGCATGCATTTTTCTGACCCAAAAGGCCACTTTGCAACTTATTTTTCAGAGGCAAGAGAAAAGTTGATGAAGGATATAAATTTATCAATTATATTTACAATGTGGTTTGTGAAGAACCGTTTCAAATGCTCTTTTCGATGCTGTGGCAAAGATTCAAATCGCCAATGATGATTCAAAATTAAAGGAGCTCTCTAAAATTTTGCGGTCCTGAAATTTTGCAAAACGCAAAATAGGGTTATTTATACTATTTGTTTTGTCCGCGCGGGAACGGAGTTTGGCCGCAACTGGCACAGCAAGAAGTCGCAAAAATTACTCAAGACAGGATCAAAACATTTTTGATTACTTAACTGACCCAACCTCTCTTCTGGTCTTCCTTCCGGAGGGGCCGGCCCGTGCTGCGTCCTCTGTGCCTCGGGTGGTGAGGAAATTTGTTGATCACCACGCGTATGACCTGATGCGTTCAACGGCACTTTTTTAACCACACGATGAGAGCGACCGATTTAGCGCTTCACCGTGATTTTTAGTGGAGCGTGCGCCTAAGGGCGCTGGCGGGTATAGATGTCAGTTAAGCTCAAGACTTTAATACCGCGAGGAAGAAGAATAACTTCTTGATGCTGTACTCGCGGCCAATAAATAAATATATATATATATATATATATATATATATATATATATATATATATATATATATATATATATATATATATATATATATATATATATATATATATATATATATATATATATATATATATATATATATATATATATATATATATATATATATATATATATATATATATATATATTCATAAAAACCCGAAAAAATAATAAAATGAAAACTAAACACTATTTATAAAACTTAAGGATTATTCCTGAGTCGGTTGTTGTTCAATCGAACTTGCTAACGTTTCGCCAATCATCCTATTGGTTGCTTCAGGGAGGAGAGGGAGCTAAAGGTGGGACATATCTGGGATGACGGATTCTCTTATTAGTGAAAGGTAAAGACCTGAGTAGCGGTTAAGATTGTTTGGGTGCTGATAGATTTCTATAGATTCTCGGATTTTTCGTTGGTAGAAAAACTGATTACTTGCAAGAATTTTAGTTTTATTGAATAAAATGTTATGTTCGGTTTAAGGCTATTTCATGTTGTTTGAGCCTAGTTGGTATTTTGCTTCCGGTTTCTTAATGTATTCTTTGCCGCATATGTATTGTGATGGTTTTAAAATTGGTCGGTGATGTGCGGAGCGCCCTCTATTGCCAATTGTCGGAGACGAAGTCAGCGAAGGAGCACAGAGTGGTCAGTTCCTTTTTAGGGGACGAACTGTGTTGACGTCCTATTAATTGTTTTGTTCGATTTCGATCTGCTGGACCAGAGTCGGTACGACCGGTCCATACAATTTGTACTTTTGTTTTTCACGTATAGAAATACACTCCGTTAGTATAGTAAAGTGTGTGTATTGTTTTCGCCGCTTCTGAACCCGACGTGCTTTGGTAGAAACACATCCATCACAGTATGGATTGTTGTAGACTCCTGGTATCTCAAAAGAATCGAAGATGAGAGATTTTTTGACCAGTGGTAAATCTTGTTTTGACGATATATTTATAAATTTTTAATATGTGGTCAGTGATGTTTTGAATGTAACAGTGACAAGTGTCTTTGGAAGGTTGCGGTGGTATTTTGTAATGGAGTGCTTAATATCTCCAATGTGGAAATTATTAGAGAGAAGAGCAGTTTTAATTCTAGGTTCAGTGACTCGGGCTGACATAGTTTGATGCCTCTGTAACCAAAAGAGTTGATAACCCATAATTTTTTGGCAAGATTGCGATGTAACAATGCATTAAGGTATCGGCCTGTCTGTGCATGTTTTATGTAAACAGAATGACCAAATGTTAGGTGTGATTTTCTATTGAAGAATGTCTTAGAATGGAAGTTTCTAATTGAATGGTAAAACGTATGTTAGGGTATATACATTTTAGATAGATAAGAAAATCTAGTAGGGATTATTGACAATGAAGCCAAATAACAAAAGTATTATCAACGTAGCGGTTCCATAATTTCAACGTAGAATGCTTTTTTACTAAAGTACATATTCATTATTACAACATTATTACATATCTATTAAAATCCGAGTATCTGAAACCAAACCTTCGAATCTTTGAAAAATGCTTGTATGGAATATATTCTTCCTATAACGGTCAAATTTTTTAACAAACGTCCTGAACAGCCATAGGTTCTCCATTATCTCCATTAAGCCTTTGAGAATAAAGCCCTCGAAACCTTCCATATAAAAAATTTTAAAAAATATATGGAAACGCTACGTTGCTATTTGCTATTTGTCCTCATTGCCAAGAATCCCTACTAGAATTTCTTAGTCATTTAAACTCTATACACCCTAACATACGTTTTTCCATTAAATTAGAAATTAATAATAATGCCCTATTCATATATATTCTTATCAACAGAAAATCAGACCTAACATTCGGTCATTATGTTTACAGAAAATGTACGCACACAGACCGATACCTCAATGCATTACAGAACCGTAAAACTATTCTCAGCAAAGTCACTGAACCCAGAATTAAAACACCTTATATCTGCTCTTCTCTCTAATAATTTCAACATTAGAATTATTAAGCGTTCAATCACAAAACAAACTTCACCACAACCTTCCAAAAACAATGAGTCCGAAAGCAACCCCACAGTTGCCACTGTTATCTTGCTTTACATTGACAACAGTATTGACCACATATCAAGAGTTTTTTAAGAAATATAACCTCAAAGCCAGATTTACCACTTGTTCGAAAATATCTCAATATATTCGATCCGTCAAAGACAAAATTCGGTTTGAGATACCAGGAGTTTACAGCAAGAATACATCAGATAGACAGGACGAAAAATATCAACTAGGCTGAAAGAACATGAAAGAGCATTAAGGCTACGACAAATAAACTCATCAGCCGTTGCCGAACACAATCACGAGACCGGACATAAAATTTTATTCGATAAAACTAAAATTCTTTCATTTTTCTACCAATGAAAAATCCGAGAATCTGTAAAAAATTATAAGCAGCAACCAAACAATCTTAACCTGTCACCAATAGGGGAATCAGTATTCCGAGACAATGTTCACTCCCCTCTTTTAGCTCCGCCCTCCTCAATATATAAGTAGATACGGACTGAAATGTTTCAGTAAAGCTCTAAAATTTCCAACAGGTTGATTGGCGAAACGTCAGCAAGTTCGATTTATAAACAACCGAAGCAAGAGGAATCCAGAAGTTTTGTAAATAGTTTTTGCAGTAGCCAGTTCCCGTTACATATTCAAATCAGAACATGAGTGTACTCCTTTCGTCAGTGCGCTTGGATTGTCTAAAATGTTTTATTTCTTAGTGTTTATAATCATTTTATATTATCTGTTATCCATATATCAGTTGCAACGGTTGTTCTGTTTGTAAAATTTTTTAATGGGTGCATGGTAGTCAAATACATACTTGAAACTGTATAATGCCAATTATTTCCATGGCATGCAACACATTTAACCAAACAACTTTTATATTTAAATTTGTTCCATCCAATAAACTATTATGGTAAAGAATCTCTCAATAGTGTATACAAACAAGCACATTTTCGTAGGTACCTTTGACTCTCTTGTAAGGAATATATATCAATACCAACATTCTACAGCACACTACACTAGCACCACACTAAATTTCCAGTCCTATCAATGCTCATTACTAACACACGAAAACGTTTATCCTACTTACTTACTTACCTTTACTGAGACAACCCGATCGAATTTAACTTCAACAATATCGGGGGCAAAATCTTCAGGTCCGAACGAACCCGCAGCTATCTCCAAACTGTTCCACCTGTGGGCTGTATGGTTTTCCAAACCCGTCGACAAGCTGGTCTGTTTCCGAAAACCAAAAAATCTCAACTCTATTAACTCCGCAACGGTGATCAAACTTACGTCCTCCAAAAGCTCGAGTTCGTATTCGTAGTGACCTATACCGCCATATATCCCCACCCCGACGATCGAAATACCAGGTCGATCGACTTGGAAACATATCGCGTCGGGGGAACCATTACCGGTGTTCCATGTGCGAGACTGATTGGTTCTGGTAAATCTGGATGGAGTCATGTGCAGGATTCTTCCGCCCACAGCTTGCATGTCCTCCTAAATTAATCAAAACGGATATTATACGGCTGTCCCCAGCGGATGCCCCTCACTTACGTCCGATGAACTGCACTGATGCACGAGCTCTCCCAGGACTCGTGCCAGCAAATGGCAGCAATATTTCGACAGTTCGGGTAGCGATATCGTTACTTGCTTGCGCAATACTTGCAAAATCGGATCGGAAACCAGGTTCATGAGGCGTTCTAATATATCATTCCATTGCCACGTCAATCCGGCGTAATTTGATTCCATCTACGTCATATTTAATATGTGTTGATGCAATAAAATCTTTGTTTTTTGATCCATTTAAGTGGGTATTCAAAATGACCACACGAATTTCAAAAAATGTTTGAAAGCTGATGACATACATATTCTTGCCAGCCATCAGCTACAACCTACCCAAGGCTCTTTTCAACGTTTAAAAATGAGACAAAATAACTAGGTGAAGCTGTCACTAGGTCAGTTTCTGCATGAACATTTTTTGAAAAGAAAACATATGACAGCAACTATCTAGCGAGTAAAGCAGCTTGCCCATAATAAATTTTCTTTTTATTAAGGAAAAAAATCAATGAATCAATGCATACAAAATTTACTGTAATGAAATTAGCGCGGAGCTTCAGTACCAAAATTTAGTGGTACAATGGTATTTAAGCAACGCTAACAATTTTATAGAAAATGATATAACAAGAACATAATGTTGCTAAAAATAAAAATTGACTCTTTCTCTAGCGGCGATGAAATTTCCATAAAACGCCACAGAAAACATTAAGTTTGAGGATTGCCTTGCTTCTTATTCTCCGTCGAAAAGTTTCTGGCAATCTTGCCTCACTCTCTCCAATGTTGGGAGAAATTTTAGTTTAAATGCGTTCTTACAACTTTTTTCTAACGTTTAAAATTATACTTTTAGAAATATTTCAATTTCTACTAGCCCCTCTATAGCTGCGGTATATAAACGCAACTAAGCAATCTCTTATTTTACACAGAAAGTTTTTTAAATAGGAAACACAATTTATAAATGCAAAAAATAAATTAAAATCCACGATTTAGGTCATTTATAGTAGAATTGTCAACACGCAAGAAAACTACAGTTCAATTTTTATTCGATTTCGATTCAAATTCGAATTTAATCCATCATCAGTTAAAGATAAGTTATCTTATTACCTTTATTTTTATTTGTGTCTATATAAACGCCAATGCAAGTCCCAACAAAATCAGGTAGTACTTTATTACGATTTACGATACCGAAATGCAAATTTCTCAAATATTCCATATTATTCGCCAAATCGGTTGATATTCGCAAGACTTACATGGTTATACATAGTTCTGGATGTTGTTATACGTTCAATCACCAACTAATCTTATTATTATTATTTTGTAACTGCTCTTGCGAAGAACAAAATACAATTTTGACTTGATTTAGACAATATAATGCATACGTCACTTGACTAATAGCAATTGACAGCACAGCACACTCAGTTTTTTTTACGGAAATCAATGAAATTGAATGCGCACTTTCGATTTTGATTTTAAAAGTGCGTCAATTTCAAAGGTTAATTTCTCGCTGATTTGCATACTTTTTTTTTTATTATAGCATAAATCTTCAGACGGTGTTACAAAAATTAAGAAAGATAGTTGGCCCTAACTTGAAAAGAAATTGTCATAAAAATGGCAAAACTAGGATGTTCAAAGGGTAAGCGCATATAAGAAGAATTAACACTGCACAAAATTTAATAATAGTACCATAAACGTAATTCGGCAAGAGGTAAGGTCTGTTCATAGATATAAAAAAGTGACTAACCGATACGAATTAAGGAAAGATCCGGGCAAGCTGTAAGAATGAAATATGGCCGAACAGGGCCGTACTTTGCTTAGAATTTAATTATTTGGGGTTTTATTAGGAAAGATACTAAACAATATTTATTTATTTATGTATGTATTTATGTTTAAATCTAAAATAAAATTACAAATTATTTTTATTACCTATTTAAATTACTTAAAATTATTCACATAATATATCAGTATCATTATCGCTATCATCGCCTGTTCTAATTATTATTTGTTCTATATTATTAGCAATATGGATATACGATTGTTCTGCTTTTTCTATATGTTTAACAGAATTTGCCCAACTTTGTAGAGGGATGTTAAAAACTTCGGTGTCTATAAGTTTGAGGATATTGGAGTTAACACGGGAAAAAACATTGTTTGGTGCCAAACATGTTCAAAGGGATTAAATATACAGTTGTAAGGTGGAAGCCTTAAAACTGTATGCCCTAGATTTTTTGCATAATTATCACAGACGTATTTCTTTTGTAGGTTCAAGCTTTGTAGAACAATTAGTTGCTTTTTGGTATAATCTTCGTAAAAATAAATATTATTATACATGTTGTTTTGGATTGTTGCTTTTGTGTCACATGAGTAAGGGGTTTTAGTCAACTATCTACTGTGATAACTTGCATTGTCCATTACAATGACGCTATTAGGAGGAATGTTTGGAACTACGTTGTTTTTAAACCAACTTTCAAATAAATCACCGGTGGTGTCTTCATGGTAATCCAAAGAAGAATCTTTAATATTTTTCGCAGACAGAGAAAGTCCATTTGGAATCCAACCATCTTTAGAGCCAGCATGCAAAATAGTTATTCTTTTACCTCTTTTTGATGACGCGTTTGTTTTACACTTATAAGTTGAGTCAACCCAACCCTTTTCTGGGGTATCATAAGCGTCGAACCAGGTTTCATCCAAGTAAATCATTGGCCTTTGTTGTTCTCTGTAAATCCTAATCTTTTCTAGATGTTCCAGTCGCCATTTCCGAATTCTAAAAGATTCCATTAAAACTTGGCTTTTGTCATTTTTTTAATATCTAAAACCCATGTGTTAAATACACTTCCATAAGGTAGTTTTGTGACATTTAACACCGGTTTCATCTTTTTCAAGCCTCCTAACAAAGATATCTAATACAGGCACGCTTTTTTCCTCGTATAACTGGTGAATTTTTTGCCGTATTTATTTTGATCACTTTCATCTACGCTCGCTACACGCTTCTTTTTTTCCTCGCTGAAATGGGATAATTCACAATTTTCCATACTGTGGATGTTGGAATTTTCGTCAATGTGACCGTTTCTTCTAAAGATGCTTGCTTGCTGGCACCACGTTCAATGAGGGTGAAATAAACATTGTTTTTAACATCCTTAGTTTCAATAGCATCTCCTGAGATACACTAGACTCGCACATATTTTGCACAATTCGCACACGATACAATACACGCTGTATTACACACGAAATAAGAATGATAAACTAAGTAGTGTACCAAACCAAGGAATATTAAACACAGGTAGGTATAAAATTATTTTCTATTACGGACCACAATTTTACCTGAATTTAAAATTCGAAACTTTAGGTAATAATCTTGTTGCATTGTATGTTGATGACCACCCTTGGATAATCCCATGCAAAAGCAATTGGTCACTTTTTTATATCTATGAACAGACCATAGCTAAAATTTCAAGCAAAAATTTCTAGTCATGGTATACCTGCCTGTGTTCTACCCTTGTCTATTAAGGCCGGGTGTCGTACACTCCACAGAGATAGCACCAATTACCGGATAATTGCAGTAATTTCTACTACAAAAGCCGTTTTTAATTATATGGATAATGAACGATATTATTCTAGACTTAGTGAAAGTGTACCGAGTACCCAGAAAATGGTCTAGAATGTTTGTTGTTAAAAATTGTCAAAATTTTAAAAACAATTGAATCAGTTGTATAACACATAAAGAAAATATAATAAAATAATACTGGGAAAAACACAATACACTTGATATAACGGTACCATCACTAAGTAATTAATGTAGACAAAGGGTCATTTTCTGGTAGTAGAAATTACAATTTTGGCTCTGATGATGAAGATGTTCATCGTAAATTCGAACTAAAGGTGGTTTACTTGAAAATTTACTTTGGCAAATTATATTCTAAATTGCATCGATAGAGTTTTTGGACAATAGTTTATTTAACAAGTTAACATAATTGTTTCATATAGATTCACCTACTTAAAGAAAGAGCATGAATGCATCTCTGAGAATGTGCGTACTAATTAAATTAATAAATGCAAGGTACTACTGATTCTGCTTTTCATACTGCCAAGTAATATAATGGTCATCGTTAGTGACGACTGTCTTGCATTGATCATGGCAGAACAAAATCTGTTGAAGTATAAGTGGAAGCAAGATGAACAAGCTATTTTACTCTGTCTGGCATTTTATTACCGATTACGCCATCACAAATCGTACCGACTATATATGGATAGATTCATAGAATTACCCAGGACAAACCGACACTATGGGGTATTCCGAGTAAAAGCAGAAGGTTCTTTGTTAAATTAATAAACTGATATTATAAACACAATCCCAAGTTCAAAGTAGCGATTTTTAGTATTATTGTAACTTGAAACGTTCTTGTGCCTCTTTTTTGCAAAGTGAATTGTGTCTGTGTTTGTCTGTCCAGTATTTGAGATAACACCAATTTGTTTTTCAAAGCTTGCTCGAAAATTGTAATTAATATTTTCACATTTATTTTATTTTTTCAGTGTATAGAAAAAAAAGAAAATTTTTTGTTTTAAAATCAATTAATTAAATCACTTATTCAAGCACAGTATTGGTAGTTAATATTTAGAATTCTAAAGTGTCTATAAATTTTTTCTACTCAATTATTTTATAATAAAAAAAAAGAAAAATACATTATGTTTTGATTGCTGCTTTTATGAATTACGTAATAAAGCAAATTATTAGTGACTAATATTAATTTTAGTGTATTCATAACAGTTCTCTACTTAAATATTTTATTTGGTAGAAGTATGAAGTAGGAAGAAGTAGGTTTTTTAAAATTCGTTTTTGTAATCGACATAAACCCAAATTAATTATTGCTTTTCTGTATTTTACCTATTCGTGCAAATAAAATATTTATTGGGGAACAGCATGTCAAAACAGTAAAACAACAGATCAAATGGCGAAAATTGCTACAAGGGGAAACAATATAACATTGTCTTGAAGTAAAACCAAAAAACAGCGAACAAGTCCAATTCAGAAAGGGTGAAAATTTTAATTTTTAAGTATTCTGAAAACTTTATGCATTTAAATGGGCTTATATAATGAGACTTCTCTCTTGCATTTTTTTCATTCCTTGCTTATAACTAAAACGGCCAAGAGAAAATGGCCACCAGGGGGTGTGATCGCATTCATTAATTTTAAATCTGGCTTTTTGAGAAATAATGTTATATTACCGATTGCTGAAGTTCGATTCTTTTTCGTTAAATGGTTTTTGCTCTACCTCTGAAGGAAAAATGGTGGGAGATGTTCGAACGTTTTCGGATATAAATGTCAATAATTTGAGAGTCGCTGAAAGCGTTTTATCAAACCTGTAGTTGTTGATTGCTTATGTCGCCGCTAGAGGGTGTCTGGGTTATTTTATTTTAGAAAATTTATTTTGTATAAAAAATCATCAGCTTTTTCTAAAAAAATCCCAATTATGATTATAGCCAATATTTATAAAAACCGATCAAAAAATTAATATTTTGCTATAATTGTCAGTTGTCATCCCTTTCAAAATTTCCGCTTTAATTTGATTCTTTTTTTTGTTTTGTTTGTTTTTATTTTTTACCTGTGTCTTGTAACTCATTTGTTCGACGAGAATAGGATAGTGGTGCGAATCCGATACGCTCATCATCGGATGACCAGTATTGTCGGACGGACTCAGACCGCGATGTAAGGAACTCTCAGCGTTCATGCTGGTCCCGAGCAATGGAAAAGTGCTCCTTAATCGCACATTGGGAGCGCACAACGCGCACAACACCGCACTCAATAACATTTGTGAGTTTGACGGACTGTGAGGATTGTAATCCTAAAAGAGTAGAACAAAATCTAGCATTCTAGATTATTTTGCAAGAATACAAATAAAGTTAATTTAATGTGGGCTCAGCTATTCAAAACAGAGTTCGAGTAGAGTGGAATTGGAGTGGCGAAATGTCAGGCATAAATATCAAACAGCTGTACTGCCCTGTGTGTTTATAGATTTTATTATGTGCCTCTGCCAAAATATATATTTTAAAAATTATTTTCCATTATGAGCTTTCTTGAAGATGTTTACAAAAAATATAATGGTTATAACAGGGCGAACTATAAAAGATTTTTTTTCAAATATCTGGAATCAGTCAAAATTTATTTAAGATACTATAGATAGAAAAAAACATTTTGACTTTAATGTAAATAATTTCTTAGAATTCTATTTGTTGAAAATTAACTTAAAGTGACTAAATATATCAGTTGGGACTCTTTATCGACCAAAATATAAACATTTCATTGATGATTGTCAGAATATTTTCTCTTTTGAAGGTTCTAGTTTTGAGGAGGTGATAAGCGTCGGGGATTTTAATACTGGCTTTTTAAATGGAAACAATCCAGCCACTCCCTGTCTAAAATCATTTAATTTGTTTCTTGTAAAGAGTTGGTGTCCTCAGCGGTGTGATAGACACGAATTATATAGATAGTAATAGTTTTACATTTAGTGACCCTTCAATTTTTAAACCAAAACGCTCCCGAAATTTATTGGAGGTGTTTCAAAAATTTTTTCTTGGTACTTATTGATTAAAAAGCATAATATTCACCAAAAAGTTGATTTTACGATTGTCACGCCCCAACACAAGAAATAAGAGCCCCAAGCTCCTTGACTAACACGTAATTTGAAATTAATCATGAACGAAAACGACTTTGCCTTATAAAAGTTTTATAGGAGTAAAAACATAGCTTATTTTAGCATATATAAAAACCTCCGTAACTTGAAAGAAAAATAATGGGCAACAAAACGAATCCTAAAAAGCTGTGGCATACATTAAGTGATTTTAATATAAAAGCTAATAAATCGACCGAAATTCCTATACACTTGTCTGATCATCAAGAGATTAATACCTACTTTTCAAGTTTCCTGCAATCTACAGTGTGTCCAACTTAAGAACTGCCCACCCTTGTAAAATCTTTGTTTATGGCTCAATTTGATATTGATTTTTTTTTGTTGAATGGTATCTGAAAAATGCACTAAAACTTTGTATTGCTTATTTCTTCAACTCAAAGTCATGGCCAACTGAGACTATTTAATAAAAAAGAGAGATAATAGGGATTTTTTAAAAAATAAATCGGCAACGAATTCTTATTCAGGAGTACTTAGAACACAACTATACAAACTTTTATAATGTTTCAATATAGGGTGTTTGAAATATCGTTTGCGCCCCGCTTAAGACTGTACATCGCTGTAAAATCTTTAATTACGGATTGATATTAATAATTTTTCTTTTGTTGGATAGATCTTGCAAAAACGCACTAAAACCTTATATTTCTTATTACATTAACCTGAAGTCATATGGCTAACTGGGACTAATTTTTCATATCAAATATCGTGAAGGGCTATTAGGGATTTCTTAAAAAAAAATAGTGGCAACGACTACATAAAACCGAACTATACTAATTTCCATGAAGTTCGCTTAAGCATTACTCCTGTAGAATATTTGTTTATGGCTCAATGTTGATAATCGTTTTTTGCTGGAAAGATCATATAATAAATATTTCGATATCTTTTTCTCGAATACAATCCAATATATGCTTTTCTTCTGTTGATTACCAACTCTATACTTCAGTTTGATATTTGGTGTTACTTTGAAAATCTGAGGAAGATTACCAACCTTGCTGATCTCAAGATCCCAGACTAGGTTAGGTTTATAGAGAAAGTCATACTTTAAAATTTTAATCATTAATAGTCGTGATATATTTTGCACGTTAGTAGTGTAGCTCAAAGTCATTTCCGATTTTAAGCCGCTTTAGGTGTTCAATCCTCACTCCCACTCTATTACATTTACGTAATACGTTGATCAGTGCTACAGCACACAGTTCTGAAAAATATCTAGAGGTCTGTCGTGGCAAATAAATTGGACTTTTTTTAAACAATACCTACCCAAAAGCAATTTATTTAGGAAAAACATACTAAATTTTACTATGTGTTACTTAGAAATTTTGAGAAAAGGTTAGGTACTTTTGACATTTCAAATTTGGTTGTTTTCCAATGGTGATTTTGCGATTTTCGAGGCTTGAAAACTCTTTGGTTTCTAAAATTAATTAGACACTTACTTCAAATAGCTTTGCACTATTTAGTGTATGGGATAACCAATTAAGAACATCTTAACTAAGGTAAGGACATGATGGAAAATCCGTACCTCCACAAACATGGAAACCAAACCATTCATAACTGTTTGTTTATTATTATTTTATTGTAGTATTTATTTTATGAATGAATTATCGTGTCAACAAAAAATTGCGAGTAAAAATGTGGAACTATTTAAATAAGTTTAAATAAATTTAACCTAATTTTCCATGAAAATAAACAAAATACAGCACCATAAATCATTTATGTTCAACTGCCTTAAGATTTACTGCCAAATTTTTCGTCTTTCTCATTACAGCAGGATGTTAACGGAATGTATTGAATTTTGCTTTAAGCAATCAGTGAAAGTCCATGCAGTTGATCTTAATGGTATTATAATTCTTGGGCACAATTCTTGAAATATATAAATGTTGTGGGTAAATAACCGAACGTAGGTATGTTTCAATAAAATGCTCTTTAAAAATTACTATTTCAAAAAACTGGGTAATTATTACACATCTTACTATTGGTCGTGATAGATTGGATTGATAAAAATAGGGAAATAAGGGCAAGATTGTAACCTACACTTATTTTTGTCTTTTGTACTTTTTTTGTATTATTACTACTAAATTAATATCTAGTCAAAAATCGCAATAACAGTGACAGTAACCTTTAGCAAATTTCATTCTGGCATGATATTATCACATAGCTACTAGATATAGACACTGTGATGATATTTAAAAAATTTTGACAAGGCAATTAAAAAAAATAATAAGTTTTCAAAGAAACTTCCACAGGCTGCTGTAATACTATTTACAAAACTTCTGGATTCCTCTTGCTTCGGTTGTTTATAAATCGAACTTGCTGACGTTTGGCCAATCATCCTGTGGGTTGCTTCAGAGCTTAACTGAAACTGGACGGAGGGGTATGAACATTGTCTCTGATGACTGATTCCATACATTCAAAACATCACTGACCACACATCAAAAGATTTACCAGTCGCGACATCTTCGATCCATCAAACACGAAATCCCCTTTGAGGTACCAGGAGTTTGATTACCAGGAGATACGAAGAATACAATAGAGACACCAGACGAAAAATACGAGCCCTAACAACTAATTGTTCGGACGATGTACGAAATAATAAGAAAACATATTTATACTTATTTTAAATTGATTTTTTTTGCCTTTTCGATTGAAAAATGAAATCACGCACTTATTTTTATACCAAAAAGTGCTATCGTAATGAATTATTTTTTTTATTTCACATAAATTACATAACAAAATATGAAAAACATACCGAATTTGCTGACAAATAAATATTCGGACGCATTTAAATCTTTTACTTTAAATCGAACATTAATAAGAAGTAACATCACCTTTCGCGGCAATAACAGCTTTTATGCGTTTTAGCATGGAATCTACCAAAGTCTTGCAATATTCGGGGGTGAAAGTGTTCCAAATTTCGGTGATTTTTGCCTTTAATGCTGGAACTGTACGCCGAGGATTGTTACGCAAAGTCTTTTTCATCCGATGCCATAAAGTTTCAATAATATTCAAGTCGGGCCTACTTGATGGCCACGATAAAACTTTCATATTATGGTCCTCAAACCACTTTATTGTTGTTTTCGCAGTATGTTGAAATATAAAATTTTCATTTCCAAAAGTTCGTTCTATTGATGGCATCAAACTTCTTAATAAAATTTGTTGGTATTTTTCTGCATTTACAGTACCATCAACTCGTAGTTGCCAATCCCTTTACCACTCATACACCCCCATATCATAACACCCTGGGGAAATTTTACCGTGCGCTTTAGACAATCTTTGTGAAAGGTTCTGATTTTGTACGAATCACCCTTTTTCGAAAATCGCCTACACATACATCAAATTTTGATTCGTCGCTGAAGATAACGTTACTCCACGTTTCCGTTGTCCAGGATATTTTAGCTTTTGCCCAATCCAAACGTTTTTTCTTCTAAATAGACGTTAATAATGGTTTTTCCTTTGCCTTTAACAAAAATAGATCATAGAATATTAATAATTTTTATATTGAAACAGGAAAAATTGTAAACTTACCTTATAAAAACTCAAACCAGACTTAAGCATCCATTGTCTACAACATTCCCTGGAGACATTTAAATTTGCCTCGTGATTCCATTGGGCTTGAATTTGTCGTAAGACGCTTCGTCTGCTAGTTTTACAAATCTTCACCACAATTTTACGGGGTCGGCCTGAACTTTTACCACGAACGCTAACACTAGCTGTCTCTCCATACTTTTTTATAATATCCCCGACTGTTGATTTTGCAATACTCAAGTCATTTGATTTTTTTTGCATTGATTTACCTCTGCAGTACTGAGATATGATAATTACTCGTACTTTTTTGTTTGTTGCAGCACCACGCTTCATTTTCTTATCAACTATTATACAAACTTGAAAGATATAACCCGAACTGACATCTCATTTATCTAAGCATACTACATTTTACCATCAATGCATGGGTAGCATTGATTTCTTGGTCAATAAACATTCGCGCCCGAATATTTATTTGTCAGCAAATTTGGCATGTTTCCGTTATTTTGCTATGTAATTCATGTGAAATAAAAAATAATTCATTACGATAGCATTTTCTGTGTTATCGTAATGTGCGTAAATTGATTATTCAATCGACAAAGCAAAAAAAAATTAAATAGATATAAAAATGTCTTTTTTATCATTTTTTACCCCGTCCGAACATTTAGTTGTTAGGGCTCATATTACCTAGACTCAAACACATCATCACGAAACCGGACGTCAACTTTCATTTGATAAAATTAAAATTCTTGCATGTAATAAATTCTTCTACCAACGAAAAATTCGAGAATCTATATAAATCTATAATCAAGCAAACAATCTTAACCGCAACTCACCAATATGGCAATCAGCGATCCAAGACAATGTTCATGCCCCTCCTTTAGCTCCGCCCTCCTCAATATGCAAGTAGATACGGAGTGGAATGTTTCAGTTAAGCTCTGAAGAAGCCAACACAGGCGAATCGTCAGCAAGTTCGATTTAACAAATAGTAAAACAAAATTATATACACCATTTAATATGACCGACCGCGATCAACAACCAACATGGGACCTGACAGTTCGACAATTCGACAGGTTTGAGTTTAGACGTAACGTCTTTACGAAAATATTATAAACTTCCATACGGGGGAAACTAAAACCGTTAAAATATCTAATAGCTATATGGATATTAGGCTGGAGGAAATTGAGACAGGCTCAGATGTTGTTATCCAAATACAGCCCTTTCAGATTTCTAACATATTTTTTTCAGCAACTTATGGGTATAGCCACCAAATTTGAGCCCTTTCTGTTGTCAGATATTATTTTTCGGCTCTTCTTGTATTTATTTTATAAGAAGCAATTCCGTTAAAACCATACACATCTTTTTTTCGGTGACTTGACTAAAATAATAAAAGGATTTTCATTAGGGAACAGAAATTAAAAAATTTCCCTTGAGAGTATTTTTTTCTGTTTTCATGAATAGCCAGACTGGAGAGATAGACCGCAACATATACTTACCTCGCAAGCCTCAGCCAACAAATCGCAAAGGCAAGTCCACTTCAAGTAGGCAGTCGGATAAAACGCATGGAAACAGGACACAAAAGCGGTGTGACATTCCATAAGTATATTGTTCATCAGGGTAACGTTGTAGGTCTTGGTTCTGCTAGATTTCTTGTTTTGCATGAGCAACGGTATATTGTCCGAGAGGATCTGCTTCAAAAGCGTGCGAACGTCTCCAATGGACTCCGCCAGATGTACGTTTTCCAAGGGGATTTTCTTTTTTATCTGCCGGGGATATATTTCGTTCGTGTACGTGCATATCAAGCGTAAGCTGGCGGTGCTTATGTAGACGAGCCTTTCTAGTTCCATACTGGTGTATACGTTCTTAACAGACTGCCCTTCCATGATACCCCACTTAAACGTATTCCAAGACCACTGAAGCAGCGACAGCAAGCTTTGGAAGCATTCTTTGGTGACCGTTCGGGAAAATTCGTTGGACAGAATGTGTATGGGTTCGGTCACGTCCACTTGACGGGGAGGACTTTGATTTTCCGGGGTGATAATTTTATAAAGTAATTGTGGAATCTGGCCCGCATTCACGTCAGTCCCGTTGTTCGATTTTTTCGAGGATTTAAAATAGAACATCACTTGGTCCTCAGTCGTTACCATCGACTGACCCGAGGAACCGCAGTCGCTGCTTGGACCGCTAATTCGACACCACGCAACGTACCATCGATGCGCCTAAAAGAGAGTCCTTCAGGGTGTAATGGGACTTTTGCAAATTATTTTTAGCGCGCGCTCTGTATGCTAGTACAATTAGGATTTTCGACTAATTTTGTTTGAAAAGAAAAATCATGAATGGTTCTTAAATATCGCAAAAATCAACAACTTTAAAATCTAAAAAATTTAGCAACTCACCAAACCACAGACAAAATAGATCTAGACTAACAGCGCACTTATTTACTGCGCCATCTATAAAAAGGATTCGACAATAAACCTTGAAATTTTTTTTCAAAGTAAGTACCACGGGCTACTGTACTGCGTCGGCTGTTAATGAATCGAACTTTACGACGTTTCGCCACTCATCCTGTTATATATATTATATATTGTTTCAGAGGATTGGAGCTAAAGAGGGCCATGAATATTGGTGAAGATTGTTTGGTTCCTTATAGATTTCTATAGATTTTCGGATTTTTCGCGGGTAGAAGAATTGATTACATGCAAGAATTTTAGTTTTATCGAACAAAATTTGATGTCCGGTTTTGTGATTGCAACAAGACATGGAAACATGAAAACATATTTGGTGAAGCAATAATAGTGAAATGGCTGTATAGAACAAATTTTATGCCTTAAAACAGCGAAGGTAAAGCAAGGTACTCAGGAAGTATGGGAAGAATTGTCGCTTGAAGAAAACTTCATAACTGCCGAAGACTTGAATTGCACAAAATATTAAATTCCCTCCAAGTGTTTCTTCTCGTCCTGTTTATGTTAAAATGTTGGGCCCTGTTGATAAGGATCAACTATCTTCTAAATTTGTTACAATTCTTGCATTTTCCTAACTCTTTTTAGTTTAGACGTTTTTTAATGATTGAACTTACGAAAACAACCAACGATCAACAATAAAATTGAACAAAATACTGAATTACATTACATTTTACAATATATCTTCACGAAGAGAGAATGTCCCTTATTACTTACAAGAATTTCGTATTCAAACAAACAGCTGATTAACGCAAGAGTTCCTAGTAATAAAAATAAATTCATTAATATATTTTATTTCTTTTAGTTATAAAGTGGCTCACGCAAAACAGCTAAACTGAACCACTCGACATCCACAAGGAAAAAACACCCAATTCTTAAAAATATGGGTAGTAATTTTTATTACCCAAAATGTTTGCATTTGCCTTTAGATACCATGTTGGATGTCAAAACAAACTATGTTTTGTCAAAATGATGAGTATACTGCTCAAAATATAAAGTGGAATTTTAAAGCTGTATCAGCTTTGGGGGCATAACTTTCGATTGAAGCCGCAAATCGCGTTCTAGGTGAACTAGGGCGACTGTAAAGGTTGAAATCTACAAACCAAAATTAACCAAACCAAAATTTTAATTGAAAAATGCTGAAGATATTTTTCTTCATTATCATCGCTAATATATTTATGGAAAAGGCTTTGAGAGCGCTCGACACCGTCCATAAAAAACCAAAGTTATGGAAACGTTGATGATACTTTTGCTGTTTAGTGTCAACTCTATTCACCCTAATATATGTTTTACTACTGAATTAGAAATTAATAATAATCTCCCATTGGGTCATTCTGTTTACAGAAAACCTACGCACACAGACCGATACCTTAATGCATTGTCTCTCTCGTTTACAGAATGAAAACATCTTACATCTGCACTTCACCACACCCTTCCATAAACAACGAGTTCGCTATTACATATCAAAATCAATTCTTTCGTCAACGAAAAATCCGAGAATCTATAAAAATCTATAAGGAACCAAACAAACAACCGCGTCTTTAATTTCCACCAATATGGGAATCAGTCATCCGAAACAATATTCATTCCCTCCTTTAGCTCTATCCCCCTCAAACAATATATAAGCAGGTACAGAGTAGAAAGCGAGCCAGTTTTAGTTAAGCTCTGAAGAACCCTGGGGACGTTTCTTTGAAAAAAAAAAAAAGTGAATTAAGTGATTTGTGTTGTGTACCGGTGGATTTTCGAATTTCTCATATTCACGCCGGTACACTGGCTATATGGAATCGGATATCCCATATCGGAATTGCTAAAGCCGCTTGGTAAACCGGTCATCGTTTAATGGCTACTTATTTAGAAATTTATTGAACCAAATTGAAATTGAATTGAATTGAAGTGACGATACCTGCAACTGAACCGGCTCGTCGAATAAAACCGAACACTTCTGTCTCGGACCGCATTCGTAAGGCACCTCTTCGGTTTCGGCCAGTAATTGCCCGTCGATCTCTTGTTCTCCCCCGTTGGGACCGATATCCAACAGTTTCAGCTTGGCGGTGTATTCGCCGCGACCTCCGAACAACCCGAACCCTCCCAGCAACAGGTCGGTGTCAGCCGTAAACCTAATGGCTTCTATACTGTGCCCGGAATAACCCCAACCGCCGCCGTGACTCTCGAATCGATTCACGGCCATGAAGTCCTCTTTCAAGTACTGCTTGCCGGATATCAGTTGCCTCTCGTCCACCTCCTCTTTGACAGCGGAAATTTGAAGATCGTGCGCCATCGTAAGAGTGTCGAGACAACATAGAAGATTGATGGCCGCCTGAAATCTACTCACGTGGCAGTTCGTCATAACGGGCAACGCGAGCTCGGGAGAGAGGACTATATTAAGGCTGGACTGCCTCTCCATGACGGTTTCCTCGTTAACGGTTTTAATATTGGTCAGGATCTTTTTGTCTGTGGTTCTTACGGCGGCGGTGGTTTGTAACTCTGAGGCGATGACGTTGTAACAATCGATCTCGTGATTGGATGGATTGTACGACCACAGCACGTTGTAAATCGGATCCATACAAACGACCTTGTTGCTGAAGTCGGCCTGATCGGGGCCTTTGAATGAATTACAGTTGCCGTCTTTCCTATTTATTACCAAACATTTGAAGTTCTTGCTGACTGCTTCCTGGTTTGGAACTAAAACTGTGAGAAACAAAAACGGAGCAAGACTGATAAAGACGTGGAGACAAAAAAAAACTAAAAAAACGTTGAGGTACACCCCGATGAGAATAATTCTAAAGGTTAGGTCGTAGAGACTGATAAATTTAAAAAAGGTGCTGCGGTTGCGCAGAAGTACTTTGCGCAACGTCGAGTCAGTAGCTGTAAATTTCTTAGGTTTATCGGTCTTTTGCGTTGTGTTCACTTTTCGTTGTAATGAGTAATGAAATTTTTGAAATGCAAGGAATATTTAGAAAACTTATCAATTTGCAACATCTGAAATCAGTACTGGTCTTTACGTAATTTCTTTTCATTTATGGATTAATATAAATTTTAATAGAAAATTTTGAAAATCATTTTGAAAAGCTTAATACAAATATCAAAAAAATGAAAAGTTTTTCCGACGGAGTAGCAACACGATATATTTTAAGATTGTAAAAATATGCTACTACTAAATACATGTTTTACACGTCCTTTGGAGAAAGAGGGGCAATTTCAAATTAAAACTAGATGATTATTAATTCCCGTTGCTTTTCAGAATTTGAATAATTTTCAGCATTTAGCATGATGTATATCAACAATATACCAATTTTATCTTTAAATGATTTTACGTTTCATACTACACAAACATAAATCTTTGCAAATATGGGCGAAACACTCACTGATGGAATGCTTATTCGCTGTAATCGTCGACTTTGAGATGCTGACTGAATTTATTAGACTCTCATCTAGTTTGACAAATGACTGATCTCCTGACGCACCCACCCACGTGGCTCGACGCCCGTGCTTAGGACCCACGCTGGGCATAGGTCCCGGTGTACTATACCACGGTGTTCTGGGGTTACTATACCGCGAGCTCGTCGAACTCTGACCAACTAGCGATGCTTCCTGTGGCGGTGGTTGACGGCCTAACTGGCCTTTCTGCACATTGAGGAAAACAAGGAATAATGGTCATTAGCTAAATTGGTTAATTGAAGTACCAGAGTGATACGCGACTTATCATTTCTTAAAATATGGGAGACAAGGTTTTATTGTTGAAACTAAAGAAGTTATCAATAAATGGACAAAATACAGTGACATTAAGTACAAACACTCTCTAGCGACTCCACCCTAAATATAAGGAAAATAAAATTAAGGTTTCTACACCACAGTTAGTTTAGGTAGCCTACATACAGCTATTGCCAATAACATAAGCTAGATAAGTCTCACTCGTTTAGACATGCAAGTCAGGCTTTGCGAATCATATCCATCTCCTACCATAATCAAACTGGAAGCTGTCCTCGCCTACGTGGAGTCACTAGGCTTGATGTAAAGCGGAGTGCTCTGTTCAGCAGGAAGCCTGGGAGTCCTGCTAATACTTAAGTACTACAGTATAGGCTCCGCCTTCACCTACAGCTACAGAACTCTTACTTCCGACCATTGCTCTTATACAGATTGTTTTACTGCCCTAAACTTGCTGAGGTGAGCTGTTTATCGGTGATCTGTGTTGAAACGGGTCTGATTCTTCTCGGTCTCTTGTTACCATGAGTGCGGGGCCAATAAACTCTCCAAAACTGTTTGTTATTTTCGAAATGCCATTGTCTAAACGAACGGTGAATGCGCAGAGGCGGTCAAAATTTTTCAAAATCATATTTGTTAGTTTGGTCGTAAATACTAAAAAAACAAAGAGCTGAAGATTTCAAAATACCACCTCGGGGAGCCTAGAAGCATTTTATCCGATCCTTTTTGTAATTAATCCTTGTTTTTTATTACCTTATTGTAATTGTCGATATTTTTCACATTTTGAAAGTAACTCGAGGGATATCTTGCCACATCTTCTATCATGCTTTCGCCTAAAGATCAATTGAGGTTACTTTCCCTTTTGTTGGCGATTTTGGGACCGTGGTTTTCGATATCCTGGTTGATTGCTTTTGAATTAATCTCCTAGCTTTAACATTCTAAAGTGTTTGATTGGGAAAAGTGCTTTCCTCGGAATATTAACAGCTGTGATCGGCATTCACTCAAGTTCCCGATAGCTATCGATCTGGTTATTATGATCTGTCGCGTCAGTGAAGTGCGTTTGGAGTTTTGTGCCACGTGCAAGCAACATAAGCGCTAGTTTGCACTAACGATATCAGCCGCATAATGGAATACCAAATTTATGGGAGGTTGGTCAAATCTTCTGGCGAAACTGCATTGAGACCTAAAGGTATTGAGCGCTCGTTTATTGCTAGCATGTTGCTTAGATGATACACACTCTGCTACCCAAAGGTATAGTTGTTTCGTCATTCCGTGGGCGTATTTGGTCTCCCCAACACACAACTCATCACCTTCCCAAAGTATGATAGAAGCACTCTTATTATATATTATAGATCTTATTCCCTATTCGTCTGATCTTTTATCACTTACCTTTCATAAAAAGTCTGTTTTACAACTGGTTATAATTCTATTAAGAGATTTTTCAATTCATTATTTGTTTGATTTACCTATTCTAAATTTCGTTGCTTGTATAGTTGATGCAAGCAGTGGCTGAGAGTTTCTGTATTTATCAATTGTACTCGTGCCTATATCAAAATAACACTGCGAAATGGGGAATTGACCGAATCCGCCCGCGTTGGCAACGGAGTAAGGCAGGGCTGCGTTGTGAGTTCACTTTTGTTTAACATTTATGGCGAATGCATAATTCGCACAGAAGGTTGGGAAAGAGGTATCTCTGTGGGTGGTAGGGCGATTAATAATCTTAGGTATGCTAACGATACTACCTTATTTGCCAGCAACGAGCAAGAACTAATGGAACTGTTGCAGACCATTAACAGATGAAAGACAAAGATAATGATTATCGATCGACCAAGAAATAACAGGCCAGAAATCAAGAAAATAAATGGTATAGATGTAGTTAATCAGTTCGTGTATCTTGGCTCCCTCATAACGAATTCAGGAAGGTGCACGGCGGAAATCAAAGACGGTCAGCGATTGCCAAAGAAGCCATGGCTATGCCGAGCAGGATTTGGAAGAGTCGAGACATAGCCCTATATACAAAGATGAGACTCGTCAAAACCTTGGTATTCTCAGTCTTTCTTTATGCATCGGAGTGCTGGACACTCGAGGAAACAGACAAACGTGCTATCGATGCTTTTGAAATGTGTTGCTGGCGAAAGGTGCTGCGCATATCATGGACACAAAGAAGAACGAACGAATCAATTTTAAACCAGTTAAAGATTAAAAAAAGACTGCACACCATCGTCTCCGAGCGCACTATATCCTTTTTTGGACATGTCGCCAGAAGAAACGGACTGAAAAAGCTCACTATTCAACGAATATTTTAGAGCCGCTAAAGAAAGGCGGAAATGGAAAGACCTCATAGATCACAGATCATGATGGCACGATACCCGAAACGGGTGGCCGGATAAGAACACTCGTGATACATTAGTCATTAGCTGAATTAGCTCAGGTGACTGAGAAAGGAATCCAGCTGTGTATCAGAGCCATTCTAGATTATGAGTGAATTGTCAACATACAGAAGTCAGATCATCCGTTTGATGATGGCGATATTTATGGTAAGAGTTTCAAACTATTCTATATATATATTCACCTTCACTAGAGGGAGTGAAGAACCCATCGGTAAACCACCTGAACATTCGACTTATTTTTAACTTGAAAGTCCACCATCTCAGAGCTGCAAAGATAACGAACTTGTCTTAAAAACATAATTTTTTTTTTATTTAAGGGTTTCTACAAAATGTTTTGAGTAATTAGCACCGAAGTTGGGTTCAGTAGCGGTGGGACAGTTTGAAGGAAAAATCTACTTATACTGCCGGTGGCTAAGTTTTTTAGGCCCGTCATTAGTGGCCATCAATATTCCGATAGCCTTAAACTTTAAATGTGGCTTACATATACATTACAAAACATAAACGGTATTGTTGGTTCTTTTTTTATCAAAACTATGTCCATGTGCCGGATAAACGGCGTAACAGTTGTGTAATCAAGTAAAAATAAAGGCAATGGAAGTTCAAAGCTCCTTTTTTAGTTTCAAAATGGGAAAGATTAGTTGTCAAAAGGGTAGCTAACCAAGACTACTATAATCACTCACCTCAGCATTTCCGAAAGTGTACACCTCCCCCTTCGATGTCAAAACGACGGTATGGTTGCTACCCGCGGCCACATGGACCGCGCTGTTGGGCAACTTGACCTGTTGAATCGCATTCTTTGCGAGGATGTCGCCGCAACCGAGCTGACCGTACAGGTTCGAGCCGAACGTCAACACCTGGCCATTTTGCAGCAGTAACACGCTGTGATGTAGTCCACACGCTATTTGCACGACCGGGCTATCTGATGGTAAGGGTAGTTTCGCTGGTGGAAGACACGCCACCCGCGCAGTGTCCCTCTCGACGTCGGAACTAGTTTGCTCCTTGACGGCCCCCAGTAAATTCGACTGGCGCGCGACATTCGACTTATGCGTGGGGGTGGCGATAACTGATGACCTGTGCGAGCAAAAACACGTATGAAATAAGTTTATTAAATTTGCAACTTTAGAAAACTCGATCTAAATTGTAAGGAAAAAGGCCTGATTGAAAAGTTAAACAAATTTAATATTAGGAAGTGGGAATTGGGGATAGTTGTCTTTGTCTTGCTCATTTATATAAAGAGAAAAGAGTGAGGTGTCCTCATTAATATATTACTTTATTTACTTCTTAAAAAACCCAAACAATTTCAGATACATCTAAAGTTTATTGGGCAAGAAATAGTAGAACATAATCAGAAATATTATTTCAAGCAAGACACGGTGTTGTCGAAACAATTGTCATAATATATAATTTCGTGAAAATCTGAACTTTTAGTTCTTATTTATTTTGATAAATGGATTTTCATCAAGTAAAAGCCACCTCAGTTCAAGAACTTCAACTCCTTATAGATAATATTAACCATCATAATGAAGATTTCGGACTGAAATTAAATACTTGCAAAAGGAAATAAATAAAAACTAAATCCATTGAGTGTATTTAAAAGAATAATTACCTTGAAAGTATATCCTAACTGGTGCCAACCAGAGGAAATCGATAGCCGAATAGAAAAAAGAATAAGACAACAGTGGAAAACAACATTTTCGAACCAACAGAAGAACGGAGGAAGTGTAAAGTCTTTACTTCCAAAGTACTTCCAAAGGAGGAACCGAAATAAAATTAGAATAGCTAGGGAAAGATGGCTAAACGAGATATGTGCACAATAAAGTTATAGTTAAAACTGAAAATATATTGGAAACCTTTCAAACATATACAACTACAGCTACAGCTTTAACAATGATAGATCCCGTTGAAAGCAAGGAGCTCTCCCCCCGGACCTAGCATACTGCAAGCTGAAGTACTATACTCCATGAAACTCATAAGATATAACAAAATCAGATCACTGAATCAAACAGAAGTTTGGGTTTAAAAATTAATATTAAGAAAACTTAGTTTATGGTGATTAGTAGGGACAACATTCCAAATGCTCAGATTACTCAATTTAAATGTCTAGGATGTATAGTCAATGAGCGGTGGAACACAGATCAAGAAATAGAATCCAGAATTGAACAAGCACGTGTAACCTTCCTAAAACTTAAAAATTTCCTTACAAACAAAAACTTAAGCTTTAACGTCCGATACAGAATGTTGAGATGCTGGTCAGGCCTGCTGTACGGGATGGAAGCGTGGACGATAAAAGCGACTACAACCAACAAAATCAAAGTGTTTGAAATGTGGACCCTACGACGAATGATGAAAATACCCCGGATTTCTTACGTAACCAACAAAGAAGTGCTTCGAAGAGCTGAACTGATGGATTGACAAGTCTTCGAAATAATTTAAAAAAATTGCAACGGCAACTGTAGCTGGAGGAATCCAGAAGTTTGGCAACTAGTATTACAGTAGCCAGTGGAAGTTTCTTCTTAAAAATTAACAACCTAACATTGAATGCCGATAAAAGAGTTACTAGTTTTTTCTTGCAAGGACTTAAAAAAAAGCGAAAACCTGAAGCTATAAAATAGATCATGGATTATTTTCAAAAACTTTCCACCTATTGCTACGTGCTGCAGAGATTAATAAAATTGGTTTATAGATCTATATTTATATTATTTAGGTTAACTCATCACGCTCTGGTGAAGTATTAAAATTGCTAAAGTGAATTCTTAGAACCTCGTTATTTTACAAATTGTATTATAATCATTTGAATATTTTAATCAAAGGGTTGCACATAATTTTTGTTTTTCTCTATGTATTTATGTACATATGTGTTATATGTTATATTTATCAAAAAAAAATATTATAAAATTTCCTTTAGAGCAAACGTCCATTGGCTTAATTTGCATAAAGGGAGATTATTGACTGTACCCAACACAAAAAGGAATTATTTAAAAGGTCATATTTGTACAATGTTGCTTCACTAGAACTGGTCTGTTCTCGGTGGTGCCTTTAGAGCTAAGTTTAAATTTAGTCTTCTCCAACGTCAACAGTAGCGTCTTGCAATACTTTCATTCATTTTTATGTAGCTCCTTCCTTGTTTCGGCATTGGCTGCATGAAGACAGGTGGGTAGGTTTTAGGTTATTTTGAATATGTTTAGATGTTTAGTTGTGGGGGTCGTTAAGTACGCGTCTGATAATTCCGCTGGTTTCAATGAGAGTTATTTTTTGTAGTTGGTGGCATATCTGTTCTCTAATGTTGAGGTTTTCGATCAATGTATATGGTATTTCTCCGGTTGCGCCTATAATAATTGGTACTACAATGACTCATTCTTGGTTCCACATACCTATTCATTGGCATACTTACTAATTTTCCCATCGTGCTTTTTTTGCAGGTTTGTGGCAAGTGAGACGGAGAAGTCAATCAGGTAAGTATGTTTGTTTTTTTTTTTTGGTAAACACCAAGTCTGGCCTATTATGTTGCAGAGATAGATCGGTTATTATTTCTCTGTTCCAGTACATTTTGCAGTTTTCCGTTTCAACTACACTTTTTGGATTGTATTTGTAGTATGGTATTGTCTCCTTCGTTTCTGTGTCGTGTAGTTTCAAGAGTTCTTGGTGTATTACTTTGCCGATGTTATCATGTCGTTTAGTGTATTCCTTTGGGGCAAGCGTTCGACATCCACTTATCATATGGTCGATCGATTCAGTTTGTTCTCCGCACATTCTACATTTGTCTGTTGGAATATTTTCCTTCATTATGTATTTTTTATAATTTCTTGTTGCAATGACCTGGTCCTGTATTGCTATTACAAATGCTTCAGTTTCGGGGAACAAGCTCAATTCAGCCTATTCAGGGACGCGTCTTTGTTGATATGCGGTTGCATCAGTGTTGCCGGATAGCAGCCACGGAGTTCCTTTGTTTTCCACTTCTCTTCGAGGTTGTCTTCATCTGCTTCACCTCTGGTGCCCTGTGCTAGGTATAGTGGTGTCAACTTTCTATCAATTTGCCTTAGAGTTTTATACATTTGGCTGTTTGTGTTGTCGTCGTTGAAGTATTTTTTGCAAGCACTGTTTTTTTTTGGTGGTGTGTCGGTATGTGCACGATACCTTGGCCCCCTTTTTCAAGTGGGATGTTTACTCTCTCGACTGAGCTGCGCGGGTGATGTTTACGAAATTTAGTGCCCATGATACGAACGTCGCGATTAAGTTGTTCAAGTTCTGTATCTGTCCATGAAATCACTCCAAAGTTGTACTTCAGGATGGATATGGCGTATGTGTTTATTGCTTTTGTTCTGTTTTTGGCATTTAGTCTCGTTTTAAGAACTGCCCGTAGTCTTTCTCTGAATTTATTTTTCAATGTTTTTTTGCTGTTTTTCTGATCTATTCCTCTAGATTGTTGATATCCTAAGTATTTATACAGTTCTTAGATTTCCATACCTACTATCTTTCCTTTGTCTGCACCCAGGTCATATCCTTCATGCCTCTTCCATTTTCCCCTTTCAAGTTGTTTATTTTCTTGATGATTGCATTAGCTTTGTGTGTAATTTTTGTTTTAGGTTTGTGGGAGCTTTGGTCCTAGGTTTGGCGCGGTAGTACTTCATGTATGTTTCTTCGAATCAGCTTTGTAGGCGTTGTTCTTCTTCTGTGAGTTCTTCACTTTGTTCATTAATGGTTAGGGTTTCATTTCTTCGGGGTGTTGTTGAGTTTATTCCTAATGCTCTCTATGCTTCATTTCTTATTCGGTCCATTATTTCGGGGGGTATTTTATTTGTGGCGAGAATTACTCGTTTTTGATCAAGGATATTTTGTATGGTTTTTTGTTTTTTCTTTGTAACACCCGTCACGTTTATTATTATTATTATTATTATTATTATTATTATCATTATTATTAAACAAATATAAATAGTTAAAATGATTAATTTCTTATTACAGTTATTATTATTACATTAACCTTAATGTGTACGACAAAGCAAACAACCCCAATCATTATCCATCTTACTCTGAATCATATTTGCCTCGCAAATCCCTATTGGCCGCATTAGCAGAAAGTTTAAATTTAGTCTTCTCCAACGTCAACAACACTTGTTCATTTTTGTTCATTTCCTATTCTTCTCCTTTTCACTCATATTTTCCCTTTCTCCCTTTCCCTTTTTCTTCCCTCTTTACTTACTATACATTGCGTATCTGGAACAATGATTTTTCTTTTTAAATGAGGCTTTAACCGTATTTGGGTTTTGCCTGGATGGATTTATTTCAAGCCTTTTGCCGCATTAATTTACTTACACTTATGTTGTTAGCAACACACGTTTTTATTATTATTGTTATTATTAAACACGAATAAGTGGTTAAAATGATTAATCTCTTATTACTGTTATTATTAATATTATATCAGCCTTAATGTGTACAACAATCCCAATAATCTTACTCTAAATCTGCTTGAAACGGTTAAGCAACCATCAGCAGCAGCAACGGAATGTAACGGAACGGGTCATATATATTGCAATATAAAATTGAGAAAAAGGATAGGAGATATCGAAAAACGTAAAGCCCTTTCGACTTACCTCGAAGATTTAAGTTTTGTAGGCTGCTTGCTGGAGCTGGCAATGGACTTGACGCTTTTATTCTTCCGATCGTCGAGACGACTTTGAATTTGCTCCTGCAATTTGGTCCTCTGCCTGGGCGGAAGCATGACCTTATTGTCGCGGAATATTTGCTCGATACGCATCACCCCCGCCAAATCGGCCAATTCCGAATTGTCTACGACCTCGTGAGCGCAGATTCGGCAACAGCCGCAAACCGCGCAACCGCTGTCCCCTTCCCCACATCCGCACTCCCTGCAATGTCAGATGTCAAAATTGTTATGGCTCGTTTCAGAATTATGCTCTGATTCTTAATACGAGAGAGTTATAGATACTGGTCTTATTTTTTTTTCACAGACGTATTATATAATACCGATTTAAGACGGTAAATTGTCCACCATGTTTAATTATCCCTGTAATTGCAAGCTTACCTGTTATAACCCTTTGGCATTAAAAAATGAAATATACTCGTAAAACTCTATATACAGGTCCCGTTCTTTAAATCGTATTCATATTAGTTTTTGGCTGAATTTCCAAGTCAACGAAATTATGAAGAAGCCTTTTCCATCTTTTTTGAAGAAAACAAGTAAAGTGCTTTTTATTGATGGTTAGAAATTTAGGTCAACAATTGATAACGATCATGGAGCAACAAGAAGAAGATTTATAGTTTAATTGGTTTTTATAGTAGACAAATCGAAGTTTTAAAAAAATAAGCCAAAAAGCAACTTGGAGCGTATCGCTATTTATTCCTATATTCCTAATCATCACAGCAGCTTGGGAAACTACACCTCTTGACATGTACATAGGAGAGGTAGTCCTGATAATTATGATGGTCTTCAGTTTAGGGACCAGCACACGGCGGAATCGCACCTGATACACGCTGTGCTGATGCACATTGTTGAGGTAAGGGTGGATTCCATCCCGACTCAACAAACCCCCCAAATCTCATGAACTTAACATTATGACGCGCATCGAATCGCATATATATATATATATATATATATATATATATATATATATATATATATATATATATATATATATATAAGTGTTTTCGGAGCGCGAGCATTGAAGATGCCAAGTGAGATTTTGGCGAAACGTCTGCAGGATTCCAGTCGGATGCAAGATTTGCAGGATTCCAGTCGGATGCAGGATTCCAGTCGGAGTTCAACGAGCGAACGGATGATATCCCGGAATATAGTGTCATCACATTTTTCCATCCGTGAATCAATACGTGAGAATATATATATATACATATATATATATATATATATATATATATATGCGGTTAGGTTTGTATATTGCATTAAATATTTATGTAACAAACATATCATCCATTTTAGGATATTATTAATACAAAAATTTTATACATAGTATATTTATGTAAAAATTCAGAAAGGACCCTACTACCCCACTTACTGTCCAGGATTTCTTTCCGCGCTCATCGACGACAAACAGCTGATCGAATATCCGGTACATTCTCTGCAAACCGTACAAATCATGCACAGGTCGTCGTGCCAGTTGTGCATACCGGGAGCGCAAATGTTCTGCTGCGCATCCTCCAAATTGCCCTCGGAATTGGTGCACACGTTGCCACTCTCCTTGTGCATTTCCTCAACTTCGTCGTAGTATTCGTGTTCTTCCTGACCCTGGCACGTTTCCATGGCGATTACGTGTGTTACGATGCCTTCCAAAAAAAAAACGACGTTACGAAACACTGACAGCTTAACAGGGTGGCAAACTGTTAGAATCGATTATTCAAGGAAAAATTATACTTTTTTTTTAAAAGCATGTGTATCTGGAATACGAAGCGAGTTAGGACAAACGTTTGTAGTCTCATTGGATGGATGGATGGATACCTTTACTAACGTATTTGAAGGATCCTTTAGTGGTTCGGATGACGAAAAACATTCTGGATATGCCCCAGCATAATTCTTTGTAAATTTATTTTAGCTGTAATGCAATAGCACTTTATAATAATTATATATTTTGAATCCAATTCATTATTCTACCAATAACGAAGTGTGAACCCTTATATTATATTATATAATTATATAATATTCGAAAAATTGTTTAATATTAGTTTGTATTGATATTAAATTATCAAAAATTTTGTGTAAGAATTTAAAATATCTAAATAAAAACTATTAGTATTTTAACTCAAACTACCTCAAGAATATACGATTTACCCCCAGGTCACCCAGTATCAACCAACTGTTAACTGGACATATTCCTATCAGGAAGTTTACTGCTCATGCATTAGATTGTAAAAACTTTAATTCATGTTCGTGACAAAATATATTTCTCTTCGTGTTCTTAGCATTTCAAACTTCTTTCTTTTCTCCCTATTCCTAATTCCTGTGTCTCTTCTGTTGAGTCATTAATATTAATTTTTGAACTTAGTTGGCTCCAATAGCAAGTTCCCTTGGAAGGAAGCTTATTATTATAACAGAGATTAACGAAAACCAACTAAAATCCTAAAAATAACCAAAACTATATCCATGTATTCTATCCTATTCGTTAATTTCGTAAACTAAACAAAATTGACCAAGGGTAGTTATAGATTTTCTTTTTGACTGTGAAGACGAAGATAATAAAAGTGAAGAACGTTATTTAAAGTGATCACAAATAAATAAAGCATACAAAGGCTTACAAAACTTCTCGAGGACACTAGTAAAAAAAATAAAGATGCCAGGATAGAAGACATCTAAACAATTATACAGAAACTTTTAAACTAGATTGAAAAATAAAATTCAGTAACATTCTATCTGACCAATTCGTCATCATCGGCAGTTCCAAACATTTAAACCCCTTCCTTCAATAAATGTCATTAAAAACACCCATATTGCAAAGGAAAATATGTTAAAATTTTCCAATCAGAAATGCAGAAGGGCTCGGTTTTGAACAAAAAAATTATGTGAAAGGCAGCTTTGACAAATATTTAGTGTCAGTAGTATCAAAACAGCCGGTATATAAAACACAGTCAACTTCACATCAATGAAATATCTATCTACTCATACTGAAATTAAAAAATATTTATTAGTGGCGATTTCAAAAAACTACATTCGAAATGCTGCTTCGGAAATTAACTCTCAACATCAATAACGAGAGTGACAGAAATTAAAATGTTAGGAGTTTGTTACTTCAAAAAGAATTTCAAGTGCTTTTAATAAGATACTGATACTTAGGAAAAAATTTTATTTCAATTTTTTTGAACAGCTAAATGTTCCTTCTTATTGTTTAATGTTACTTTTTCATATTCGATAGTAAAAAACTATAATTTAATTTTTAATTTAACTCTAATGATTAAATAAGATGTTGATTCTTCGGGCAACACAAGGTTCATTTTTATTAAAAAACGATTGAGAATTTTAAAAATCTTATTATTTATTTTTTGAAAAAAGTAGTGACCATTTTTTTGCAACCCCCTGTTATTAAAAATAATGCCATTTTTGCTTGGAATCATTTATTAAACTCATCCAAGTAATTACACCCTTAAGGATCAGCATCTTATTTTGAAAGACCATATTATCAATTAAAGCGATCAACAAGTTTTGTGCTCTTAATTATAATTAAAATAATTAAACGGAAAGTAATATGAAAACTTAGAAATTATAAGTTGTTAAAGGTAAATTAAATTCACCACGCTTCATACACATGAATTTAAACTGACGATTCTAAACGGTAAAGCGATCAAGAGACTTTAATAATCATCAAATACAGATATAACATAGGGTTCTGTCAGAAATAAGTAAGGTTTGTTTCCATGGCACTAGCAACTAATTATTTCCGTCAAAGTAAATGTTTTATTAATTTTCCACATTTTATTGTTTAAATACTTCAATTAATTATTAAAATAATAAATTAACAAAATTAAGTAATAATTACTATAATTAACTGTGTCCAATAATTCATAATGTTTAATGAAAAATCTAGCCATAATGCCAGCTATTGAGTAATTTTTTACCCTTTGAAATTACTGTAAATAAAGTAATAAAGATAAATCACGAAATTTTGCTTCCACTTTCATTTCCTGTTTGCAAGTTTATTAAAATGCGAAACGCCTTTTGGGAGTTATAGCCATTTATTTTTGAAAATGACCAAACACTTTCCAGCTCCTAACCACTACCAACTAAAACGACAATTGCTCCTCCTGGTGGCCATTTCAGAAATTAAATTAATAAATTTCCGGAACTATCCGTTTTCCTAAAACTGTATCTCTTACTGGCACGCGGTACTTTTTGTACAAGTAGTGGTAGTGAATAAAATTGTTATCGAAGGTACTATCATTACCTTCCTTTTGTTGTTTGGCAAACTCCCGTCCGCACTGGAATTTGTTATTGATACCAAACGAGTAAATGTGCCCCTTGCTGGTCAACGCAATGGCGTGAGCCTTACCGAGCGCCACCTGCGTCACAAACTCCCCCTTCAGACTAGTGACCACGCCTAAAAATGGTAATGGCGAATTAATTATGAAAATTACCGTTGCACGACGGCGAACCGACCAGTGGCCGCATCGCAATGCGTTGTGTCTTTGCCGAAAATAAGCAGCTCACCGTCCCTGGTGACCAGGGCTGTGGTGCCGTTGTTGCAAGCACCGGTGACAATATGCTGCCCATCAACTTTCATCATTTTCTTTGGTTTTACGGCTTTCGGTTGCCTCCTAACCTTACTTTGGTCACCATCTTCACCCCTTCTTGCCGTACCTTAAAAAGCAAAGAAAAGCTAGACTCTACGTACTTGAACTCAGGGGCTCAATGTATTATTTCACTGTAAATATGTACTTGCTCAAGTATTTTACTGCATTTAAGTACAAAATGGCAGACATATTTTAGAAAAATCCCATCGAAGAAAGATCTGTTTGACCATGTACAATGTTTACAATTTAAGGCAAATCTTATTCACTTTTACAAAAAACTGGTGTTATACCGGGTGACACAAGAAAGTGGGAATACTCTATAACTTTTAAACGGCTTGAGATAGCGATTTGAAATTTGGAAGGGTTAATATAGGCTGAATGTCCAATTCTTTGACAATATGTAGTCAATGGTTGCGCTTCCGGTTTGAGGGGAAACAACAGTATCTTTCGAATTTTAAATGGCACAACCTATATTTTTTGCATTTTTGGATTCAGGAGATCATTCTACGTTCGTTTTTTTTTAATTTTTATTTAAATTTGAAAATGGTGTCTAGAAGTCTGTGACGATCAGACCGGATCACCTGATCATGGGAAAAATTGTAAATGAAACTTTTCTTTACTTGTCTAATGGCAAATAGCATTTAATGTAATGAACTATTAATTTTTGAGGATAACCCAGTCTGTTTAAATAGCACCCTAGTGGAAACAAAAACTTTTTAAAACGGGTCCTTTCTTTACAACATTTTGACACCAACATTTTCAAAATCTGTTAAAAAATAAGCTCATACGAAGGAAAAAACCAGATATGTAACATTTTTATAAAAACAAAATATTACTTAGGTGGCCTTGATTCTATTCATCATCAAGTTGGAATGATTGAAAATTGTGACAGTTTGTTCATTTTTATCTGATTATCGATTTTGACGTGTTATCGATTTGGATTATCATAGAAAACAATAATCAATTTACAAATGGAAAAAAGTGGACATGGCTGTGTCGCTAAGAGAAGTGGCATTAGAATTAGGCATCTCTCAAGAGAGTCTGTGAGGAGAATTTTAAAAAACACGAGTTGACTTTATAAGAAAAACTATTGAGCCACAATAGAATCAGAAGTACTTGGAATGACTGAAAGCAATACAACATGTAGTATATACGAGCCCTAACAACTAAATGTTCGGACGATGTAAAAAATGATAAAAAAGACATTTTTATATCTATTTAATTTTTTTTTGCTTTGTCGATTGAATAATCAATTTACGCACATTACGATAACACAGAAAATGCTATCGTAATGAATTATTTTTTATTTCACATGAATTACATAGCAAAATAACGGAAACATGCCAAATTTGCTGACAAATAAATATTCGGACGCGAATGTTTATTGACCAAGAAATCAATGCTACCCATGCATTGATGGTAAAATGTAGTATGCTTAGATAAATGAGATGTCAGTTCGGGTTCTATCTTTCAAGTTTGTATAACAGTTGATAAGAAAATGACGCGTGGTGTTGCAACAAACAAAAAAGTGCGAGAAATTATGATATCTCAGTACTGCATAGGTAAATCAATGCAAAAAATTTCAGTATTGCAAAATCAACAGCTAGTGTTAGCGTTCATTGTAAAAGTTCAGGCCGGCCCCGTAAAATCATTGAAAGAGATCGTCGTATTCTGGTCAAGATTTGTAAAACTAGCAGACGAAGCGTCTTACGACAAATTCAAGCCCAATGGAATCACGAGGCAAACTTAAATGTCTCCAGGGAATGTTGTAGACAATTAATGCATAAGTCTGGTTTGAGTTTTTATGAGGTAAGTTTACAATTTTTCCTGTTTCAATATACAAAATTATTAATATTCTATTATCTACTTTTGTTAAAGGCAAAGGAAAAACCATTATTAACGTCTATTCAGAAGAAAAAACGTTTGGATTGGTCAAAATCTAAAATATCCTGGACAACAGAAACGTGGAGTAACGTTATCTTCAGCGACGAATCAAAATTTGATGTGTGTGTAGGCGATTTTCGGAAAAGCGTGATTCGTACAAAATCAGAAGCCTTTCATAAAGATTGTCTAAAGCGCACGGTAAAATCTCTCCAGGGTGTTATGATATAGGGGTGTATGAGTGATAAAGTGGTTGCCAACTACGAGTTCATTGAACAAATTTTATCAAGAAGTTTGATTCCATCAATAGAACATACTGCGAAAACAACAAAAAAGTGGTTTGGGGACCATAATATAAAAGTTTTATCGTGGCCATCAGGTAGCCCCGACTTTGCGCAACAATCCTCAGCGTACAGTTCCAGCATTAAAGGCAAAAATCACCGAAATTTTAACACTTTCACCCCCGAATATTGCAAGACTTTGGTAGATTCCATTCCAAAACGCATAAATGCTATTATTGCCGCGAAAGGTGATGTTACTTTTTATTAATGTTCGATTAAAAGTAAAAGATTTAAATGCGTCCGAATATTTATTTATCAGCAAATTCGGTATGTTTTTGATATTTTGTTATGTAATTTATGTGAAATAAAAAAATAATTCATTACGATAGCACTTTTTGGTATAAAAGTAAGTGCGTGATTTCATTTTTCAATCGAAAATGCAAAAAAAATCAATTTAAAATAAGTATATGTTTTCTTATTATTTCGTACATCGTCCGAACAATTAGTTGTTAGGGCTCGTAGAATTTTGACCAGTTGATCAGACGGTCGACCAATTAATTATTATACAAGAAATAATGCCAAGTCGTCAGAGAGCGAAAATTAAATCCCATTAACTGTTTTATAATAATGTTTAATAATTATTATTGCATCTATTATTGTATATATCGGGTGACACAATCGAAACACTAATCTCGTTTATTTATCACTGTTCCGAAAACTTGGCAATACAAAGGCATATTGAACATTTAGTATTTTTGCTAATAATAAATAATCATAATTAAAAAAACATGTTTTTCTATGATTTTTCAATATATTAATATATGTTTAGAATATTAAAATTTTATTTCATTTTTAAAATAAGACGAACTAGTTTCGCGAATTCTTTTATTGCCAAGCCTTTCCTGCACCAATGGATAAGTTTTCACTAATATTCGTTTTTATTAATGATTTGCACAAATACAATAACTAATTCGCTATATAATCAGATCTGAAAGAAAAAAACCCTTAAGGATTAAGGGAATAGTGAACTAGGATATGCGAAATCTTTATGTTAGGCTTCAGTTAATTCACAAGTGAGTAAAATTCTTAAAGCTTAAAACATCGCACTTCGAAAATTTGTGTTAATTTTCTTTATCTGGGGTTTCGCACGACTCAGTAAATTATCGAAACTTTCTTTGGACATTCAGGGTCATTCCTTTTTCTAATTGTTAAAGAAATGCGAATTGGATTGTACATCACAATCACATGCCAATAGGTGGCACCATTTGTGAGATATTTTATAGCCCGCGGATTTGTGCTCTGTATTTGTGGCATGTCAAAAATAAGATTACAATTTCGGGAACTGCTAATAGCAACGTTTGAGTTTCAAGTATGTTTGTATTTTTTGTTGTAATTAGAAATTGCTTTATGTCTATTGTGTTACTCCAATAATCCCGATCGAGTCATAAGTTTAAAATTGCATTTTTTTTTCTGTAGAGCAGACAGCGATCTAAATATTTTAACCAGAAGGACTATTATGAACATAACCTCTAAATAGGATTGTTGAGGAACTAGTGTTGTGTTAATCATTCATTTCACGAGAATCGAATCAATCAGTAACCGATTTCGAAAAGGACCGAATCTTTTCAATCAATCGTTCATTTCAATACTTTTTGTTGTCAACTGTAAGCTATAAACAATAAGCGCCAATAGTCACTACATCTGAACAGTCCGAACGATCGATTCATATTCACTTGAATTTAAATTATTGCTGTGTCTATATGTTCTGTTTTCTGTTTTAGTTGGTGTAATACTTAGCTGTTTTCTGCTTTTTATTGCATTTATTGCATATTATTAAAATTGGTGCTACGTATTGGATTGTACGAGTAATACGTTAATTTGTTTAATTTTAAATTCCTGCGAGGAAATGGATATTTCAATCAATATTCAATTCAACACATACGCCAATATTCCGATCGATGTCGCGACTCAATACTATAGAATAATTATAACAATACTATCATTCCTTTTCCGTGGTCTGTCTCTGTCATTCATTTGTTTTGGTAAGGTCGGTCGATCGGTCGTCCTGTAATCCGTCGCCACCTCACTTCAGAACGGTCAGGGCGAAAGCGAGAGCGAATCGTTACGAACAAACACGATTCGTTCGTTCAACACTATAAAGTCATTGAATGAAAGTGACCGAATCAATTGTGATTGGCACAACTCTACGAGGAATATTGCACATGGCGGGCGTTGCTCCTGTCCAGTTCCATAAAATGTAGAAATGAAGTGATAGAGGCGCAGTGCCTATAAATTTGTGAAATAGTATTCGTCTTAAGCGGATGTATATGAATTAGTGATATGTTATTCCATCATGTGTATATTAACACGGTTTCCGGATGTCTTATATTCACGCTGGTAACCAGGCCAGATGGGATGGGATATCCCGTATGAGATAATTTCAGGAGCCGTTAGAAGAATCGGTCGTCATGTTATAATTATCTATTTAGAAGTTGTTCCACGGTATAAATATGTTAACAAACCTGGAAGATGATGATTTAGTCCAGACCCTCTCTATACGAAGGTATCATTTAGGAACTTATATAGTCGTGGACATTAGAATTAAAATAACTGACCTCTAAATATTATGACATTTTATGGTTTTACGGTCAATGTTTAACAAACAAAATGGATGTAACCCTATTTTCTCAATGTATTTACCGGTAAAAAACACCGATCCATCTTCAGCGACTAATATCGCGTGCAGTCCGTCATGTCCAATCGCGACATGAATTATTTTCGGCGATTTGGTCAGCACGAGTTCCGACCATTTTCCGGATCGTACCCCGGCCTGTTTAATGCCGAGAGCGGAAGGTTTCCCGGTATACATCACCTTGCCAGTGACGGATCGTAGCAAGCCGAATTCCTTTCCGATGCAGATAGTACTGACCTCCTCCTCGGTGTTTAGGTTAATCGTGTACGATCCGCACTCGTCCTCAAACGGGGCGTAGCCCAAGACATCCACGCATTTTCGCGCCAGTTTTAATGGTAACTCGCTTAATTGCGATGCCGGAACCGTATTTTGATTCAGCAGTCTCACCACAAACCCATCCTGCAAACAAGTATTTACAGGAAAGTCATTATAAAGGGTTATTTACTTTTTTTTTCAAAGAAACTCCACAGACTACTGTAATACTATTTACAAATCTAAATTCTTGAAGTTTCAGTTAAGGTCTGAAAGAGCCAACAAATGTCAGCAAGTTCAACAACCGACCCGGGAGAAATCCAGAAGTTTTGTAAATAAGTTTATTCACGCTATATCGCAATTTTTTTTTATATGTGGGGACCTATCCCAGGTCGCACAGTTCATCCAATGTATAAAACTTTATTAATATTTATTCAAATAGGTAAGCAGTATAGGTAAAAAATTATAGGATTTCTGTAGAACTGATTTAATTATAACGAAATAGCACTGGCTTTATTTAAAATAACATTGACGACCATACTCTTCTGGATTCCTCCTGCGCATTCTACTCTATACCTGCTTGAGTATTGTTTGAGGGGGACGGAGCTAAATGAGGGGCATGAACCTTGTCTAGGACAACTGATTCTCATATTGGTGACAGATAGCGACCTGAGTCGCGGTTAACATTGTTAGGTTGTTTATAGATTTCTATAGACTCTTGGATTTTTCGTCATTATGTTTGGCAACAGCTGATGAGTTTATTTGTCGTATTCGCAATCTTCCAAAGAAACTTCCACAGGCTACTACTTTTTACAAAACTTCTGGATTCCTCCTGCGTCGGTTTTTGCTGAGTCGAAATTGCTGACGTTTCGCCAATCATCCTGTTGGCTTCTTCAGAGATTGACTGAAACTATCTCGCATTCTACTCTGCTACTGCTTATATATTGTTTGAGGGGGGCGGAGCTAAAGGTGGAACATATCTGGGATGACTGATTCTCATATTGGTGAAAGGTAAAGTCCTCAGTCGCGGTTAAGATTGTTTGGTTGCTTATAGATTTCTATAGATTCTCGGACTTTCCTATTCTAGAAGTGGTAAGTGTTTGTCTTTGGAAGGTTGTAGTGAAGTGTATTTTGTGATGAAGAAGAAAATAAAGAGCAGATATAAGGTGTTTTAATTCTCGGTTTTAGTGACTCGGGTTAAGAAAATCTGTGTGCTTACATTCTCTGCAAACAGAATAACCCAATATTAGGTCTGATTTTCTATTGATAAGAATATCTAAGAATGGTATATATTATTAATTTGTTGTTCATTTCCATGCATATATTCTGAAAATGTTATGGATTTAAATGGACATATATTGGGGTTTCTCGCTTGCATTTTTTTCGGCTCTTTAATCAGCCGTCACCAAAATTTCTAAATTTTATTTCAAGGATATCTTAATGTGTTACACCGAGAGTAGTAATATTTCTTAGAACCTAGCAAGTAATAAAATACAGAGCATTCCATTGCAATGGTTTCTAGCTTGAGTAGATTTGGGAACACTGTAAAAGCCCAAATATTGTAGAAATAGAGACCATAGTCTTTTATGGCCGCGACTTAATTTTTACATTACTATCTTTTTTCATGTCTATATACTTTTGATAGGCCATCAACTTGGTTGGCCATCATCTAGGTTTATTATAAATAATAATAATAATAGATCAATATTGTTCAATGTATGGACCATAATATAATAAAATTATTGTCACATTGTCTTAATATTTAAATTTAAAACTTCAACAACAAAGCCTAGAAGAGAGAGAGAGAGAGAGAGAGAGAGAGAGAGAGAGAGAGAGAGAGAGAGAGAGAGAGAGCATCAAGATCACTTTCATTATGAAACACCGAAACACCTTGACGGGAAAAACTTTTGTAAAATTTGTAAAACTATCGCCAAAAGGCTTGCTAATATTTTATGAGTATTCCTCATTTGTACGATCGATGAATCATCGCACCACTTACGTCTTTTGCGGTAGAAATCGTCCCCAAATTTTCGCCGTCGGAAAAAATAACCGAAGATCCCACGTCTCTGCTCTGTAGCGGAACAGAACCGGAAATTAGAAGACTGTTTCTTTCGACTATCAAAAACTCTCCTCCCCTTCTGCCGCATAACTTCAAATACAAATTGCCCTTAAAATAAAACAAACGCTGAAAAAAAAGGTTACACACTCTTCTTACATTTCAGCAAAACTCATACAGGGCGTTCGGTTTTCGACTTTTTTGAGATATATATCTGAACCGGCATCTAAAAATGTATTTAAAAATTGAAAGTCGAGTCAATTCCGGTTAAAATTGTACAGGGTGTTTTTGGTCAATTAGTCCTTAAAATAGAAGTGAGGTTGCAAAAATTCCTATAGAGCTGAAAATTGGCATGAATGTTCAATGTCATACATGAATTGTGAAAAGTCCCCATCAATCCCCCTTGTGCAATTTTTTTTCAGCTAAACCGTAAGTTTTACAGCAAAAATAGTTCAGTCAAAAAAGTGTCAAAAGTATTGCCATTTCCGTGATATAGCGGTTCAAAGAATTGAAAAAAATATTTTATTCGTAATATGCACGTTAATGTATATACATTTTTAAACCGTTATACGACAAAAAATATGAGTCCCTATATCTTATACATACATATTATAAAATTCCTAGAATATAAATGAACGTCAAAAACTCCGGTCTTCCATTCAATTGTAAGCGTGGCGATGCTCATATACCTGTTCCATTTCAAAGGGGTCATCAGAATTCTGTTAGTCGTAAGCATTCCTTCGTAGTGACAACTCGTGGCTATCGCTTATACTTTGTAACAAAGTTTGTGCATTTTACTTTTTTTTTACAGCGGCAATCACAAATATATTCATCAAAAAGTATCTGCGCTTTTTCAAAATGCCAAAATCATATACTTTTTCCACACACAATAATTGTGTGCGACACAGAGTTGCAAAACAACGGTTTTAAGGATAGTAACTCTGGTCATAACTTTTGGAACAACATATTTGTATCCAGGCGGAGGAAGACGAAGAAGAACAAAACGAACAAACGAATTTTTTCATTTAAAAATTACATAATTTACACAGCTTTAATCATTTTCAATATTCCATTTGTATTTTATAAAATATTTTTGAATTCAATAGGATCACAACAGATCGTGGAATTGGCCTACCCGGGAAACCACGTTAAAAAAAGCACCAAGGACCTCATAGGCAGTGTGGAAACGTTTTTTCAATTTTTTGAACCGCTATATCACGGACTAACAAAAAAAATGCAGAGACATTTTTTGTAGAGAATCGGATGATCTACAATTTTTGTCTGAACTCACCGTCTAGCTGAAAAACGTATTTTTGCAAACTTTCACCATCAATAATATTTTAATAAAAATTCATTTATTCGTATTCTGAACATTCCTACCAATTTTTAACTCTACGGAATACTTGAAAGTTTCAAAGTCTTATTTCACTAATTTAGAAGATATGTAAATAGTATTTTCGGTAGTCTGTAGAAGTTTCTTTGAAACATCAAAATAATATTTTTAATAACGGCAATCTCGAGGAATAATTGACGAATTCCATATAAATAGAGTGCATAAAGTAAGTCCGATAATAGTTATATTATGCAACAAGTGCGCTAAACGACACAAACTTTACCGAACGTGTTGCATACTATACTTTTTCTACGACCGTTAGTTTTTGGGTACATTTTCGCAAAACACGAATACATTCACTGACATGGCTGTTAGAATTGACAAACATCAAAATTCAAAGCGTGCTAAATATCACCGAAAACATCTGATTGCTCCCAAATCCGTGCGGTAAAATCCCGGAAACGTCCGAAGTGGCTCGGATTCGTGGGAAACGAAACTGACGTGGTAAAGCGACGCTTCCCGCACGCTTGATCGGTGCGTAATTAGGTATTTTACAGACAGCAGTAGAAAAACAAAATGTTTACAATACTTTTTTAGGTTATGGTTAGGGCGTCTACCTAGATGGTGGCGCTGCGACCCCAATTAAAGCATTTCAATGTAAAGCGCCCCCAGAATATTTGTAAATTATAACATTTCTGCAGGTTATATTACATTTTATTCGTTTAAATAAGGACAGAAGTTTGACAGATCTGAAGCAGCGTCAAATTATAATGACAGTATTTAAAAAGATGAAATTATTGAGACTGAAATAGAAGTAAATCTGTTATAATAGTAAGTTTATAGTACTACAATAAGACAACGGGGTGAAAATACCCCCATTTGTATGTTAGTTGTTTAGTTTTTACTGTAAACATATTAATTAAGTTTCTGTTTGAAACTTAAAAAAAAACACATTTTGAACGCTAATTTATTTCAGAAAATTACAATCTGCACTTTCACCGTCTTTCCCGGCAATACAACCATTTTAAATGTCCTTTATTTTAATAAATAGATTTTGACATTAATGATAGTTTAAAGGCTGTGCCAGCCAAAAAAAATTCACTCACCAGACAGTAAACCAAACTTCCGTTGTCGTTGGGATAAAAATCGGGCTTCCAAAAAGATACGTGCCCCTTAATGGTGCTGCCATAACCGCTACCGATTTTTAAAAGACCCCTTGAAGAGAATAGGTACAAATATTGACTGTCAAAGGCCAGGGCCTTCACCCCTAAATGGGTATTTATTAAATCGTTGGGCATTTTAACTTGAAACGAGTCGATCTGCGATGTTTTGGGAACTCCGTGCGTTAACCAATCCGGCCTTAACATTTTACCAAGAAGTATACCGTGGACGCTCCTCTGCAAAGATGATAACACAGCCGGCATCTGAAATACGGTACGCGTTTGACTACAGAAAAATGGAATACACAAAAAGAATGGTAAGTAAAATATATGGGACCTCCTAAAAAGCTTGGTGCTTTAGTGACGTCACACAACAGCGAAACGAAACCTAACCTCAAAAGTAGTAACAAGCTGAACCCAACTATCAAAAGAATAAAATAAAACTATTGTAAACTATAAAAAAATTCTAGTGTTAATAATAATTAATTTGTTGTTATTTTTTGTTCAATAAGGAATGGGCTTTGGTCAGTTGAAGACAGCAAAACAAAACAACTTCTTCATTGTTTTATATTATTCAGACTCACTTGAAAACTTCATGTTTTAGGATCACATCAAGATATATAACACTTTAAGTATAAATATAATGTTATTTTTATTATTAAAATATATTATTTTTCGTGCTGTCAAGTAATTCCACAAAACTTGAACTGACCTGAATATTTTGAATAGACAGTGCTCTCGGGCACATCAAAAGAGCTGCAGTCGCCGATAGATACTTGCCAGTATCACCACGGACGACTACAAGTGCCAACAAGCAGGCACAAGCCACTGCTGTAAGATGAGTGCCATCATTAGGCACAGAACTTTCCGGGCCGTGTAAAGTGGCCAAGTCGAGTAGTAACTCAAAAAGTGAGTCTGTTACGTCGGGCGGTTCAGACTTGAGCCCCTCAGGAGACTGCCCTTGTAACACATCCAGCAGTGCCAAAAGGGCTCTGGTACAAAGAACTGGATGTGTGACTCTACTCTCCTTGATAAGTTCAAACACTGAACGTATACCTGAAAAATAAAAATTATTTTGTTCTTAAATGGTATTCTTTTAAATACATATTTTTAAAAGCAAAAAAAAACTTAACTGACCTAATCCAACTACCTTTGACACTTTGGTGGGAACATAGGTACTGCTTTGAGTATTATCTTCGGTATCACTCTCAAAGTCACTATGATCCCCAACGGGTATACTGCAGCTACTTTGAAGATATTCTTGACTGGCGCTTTTCATCCATCTATCTAGTACTGCCAATCTGATAGAAGCGAACAACGCAAATCCTGAAGAATTTAGTGGTAGTTCGATTTCAGGAGCAGTTTGAAATTCACCCTCATAAAGAAGTTCCAGTTTTTTTTGTTTGGATCTAGATTTCGGCACTTTCTTTTTCATTTTTTTCCATTCCGTACATTTCCTGTACAAATCAAATGTATATATTTTATTGCCTCAAATTCTTAGACAGAAATATTTTTGCAGTATTTACCTAAAACCATCAGGATGTACTCGATAGGACTTATGATACAACACACCAAAATTGTCAGGTTCCGGCAACATTCCCTTAGCTTTTAAATGTAATTGGCATTCAAGTTTTAACCCTCCATAACAAACCTTCCCCAACAAGTATTGATTTTTTTGTTTATGAATCACCTATCTAGGAATTCGAAATAAAAGGAAAACGCAATACAACCGCATGTGCTTTTAAAGTGATGTATGCATTTCAGCCATTCGTATATAAAATGCGGATGAAAAAAGTTCCATTCAGCAGAAATTTTAAATTTGAATTTGAAATCCGCCGGAATGAGGCGTAGTTCAAAAACTGACCAGACTGCAATTCACAGCCATTCTAAAAATTCCACTTCAAATTTATCTATGCTTGCAGCGGCTCCCAAGAATCGTAAACTTAATAGGATTGTCCAATCCTATTAGACATACGTTCGCCAAAATTATCGATCGGGCGTGGTCGCTTGTGACGTAAGCGAAGTCCTCTAACGGTTTTTGTGTATTCTGTCAATGCATTTGAAGAATATTAAACCGTTGTATTTTGTGTTCTTTAAACAACTAAAATAATTTAAACTAGTGAGTAGTGCGCTTATATTTGTGTTAATTTTATTTCTGTAAAAAAAACTTGCACAAAACAATGTTTTTAAGCTTTAACAGATACTTAAAAAATGTATGTGCTTGAGGGCAAGAACTGAGAAAAAGAGTATTTTTAACCTTAAACAAAGACTTAACAGTTTTGTGTTCGTGCTGCTTATTAGCGGTGTTATTAGTTAGGAGGTAAGCTCAAAATATTAGACAATAATATAAGTAAACGTAAGAAATACATTTCTTTTACCTTTTTCAGTAGGATAAGTTACATAAAAAAATAGTTAGGTATGCCTGGAACTATTTTGCTGAAAAAGCAAGTTCTCGAAAATATAGTTTTCATCGCTTTCCCAAAGGGAAATTCGGAACGAGTGGATAGATGTAGAAGAGAGGACAAACTTAATCCAGATAAAAGCTATGCCTGCTCAGTTCATTTTACTGAAAATGATTACGAAAAAGACTTACAAAATGAGTTATTCGCTATTTCTTTGTCTTGAGTAACACATTAAATTCACAACAAAATTTAATTTTTAGGTTTACCTTTAAAAAAGATTCTAAAAAAAACTGCTGTTCCCACCCTATTATTATTTAACCAGAAGCCACCAACAGAAGCAGGATTATCTAGATCAAAAAGACTCCATTCCAAAAATGTCAAAAAAGAAGCTCAGCAGGTATTGTCTGAGCTTTTAGCAACAACATCGAATGCCCCAAGTGAAATTCTAGAGAAAAATCCATCTACAGAACCCATGCTTGGAAGCCATCTCCGAACCCCAAATAATAAATTATAAAGCTAAGTATATGAAAATTTGTCGGTTAGAGATTTTTGTAAGCTCAGAACGATAATTCGTATGAACTTCAGAACTTTAAAAGCAAAATATAACGTTAGTCTAAAAAGAAAATCTTTGCAAGATGATAGCCGCAGAAAAAAAATTAGAAAGTAGGGTAAAATTGTAAAAGAAAGATTTAAGTATATGTAGTAATATGTATTTTCTATGTTAAGTACATACGAGGGTACATATAAATACATATTATAATTTACCTATTACCTATAAATAGTTATGTATGCCTAATATATTTTTTGATTTCTAATATGTTAAAATGTTAATTACTAATGTTAATATTAATGTAAATCGTTTTGTTCGATAGTTTTATGTATTTGTGTGTAACAATATTTAATTAATATATGTATTTCAAGATAATACATATAAGCCAAACTTGATTGCAATAGTATTATATTTACCCTACCTGAGACCCTAACCTACGCTACTTCCCAATAATTATTAAATAAGTACTAAAACGATTTAATGTTGATATTAAATTATTATTATTATTATCGATTATCCAAACAAAATGTTATATTAGCTACTCAAAATACTCAAAGTGCATCAAAACTCGGGTCAGTTTCAGATTATTTGGATGCATTTACATAGTAAGCGCGCCAAAACAGGACTTCACCTACGTCACAGCCAGCGAGAGTTTTCGCATTGCTCTTGCGGACAGATTTGACAGATTAGGCAATCCTATTAGGTTTACGATTCTTGAGCGGCTCCCATTAAATTGAAACGGTCATAAAAAATATTTATGTTTCGTGAACGATAGTTCCCTATTCAAACAAGAATAACATAAAAAGTGTAAAATACGTACTTGGCAAACATATCTATGCGGAAAACATATGAGACTTTATTTTTCATTGATTCACCAATATTAATCTGTGACGAAATCAGCTGGTTGTGACCAACCATTTAATTTCTGTGGTTAATTAGAATCAAAACATGAACATGTGTTTAGCCGGGAAAATTTATTTCTATTGATTAAAACTCGATTGTGTAATGCCTTGAATTTAATGTACATAAATAGCAATAATGTCGTTCCCATTGAACACAAGAAGTTACTTGGAGCATTTTTCGGATATTTTAAGTGTCATAACAATAACAGTATGCTTTGTTTTAAAAGTTCCTCAGATTTTTAAGCTTCTTCAAGTAAAGCATGCCAAAGCAATTAATTTAATAAGTCTGTTAATGGAATTAACAAGGTAATGTTACTATATTCCCCTAAATATTCAATGTTATGTAATCTTTTTTTAGTTACACCATTATGTTAGCTTATAATTATAGAAATGGATATACCATACTGAGTTACCTAGAATACCCTATAATTTTAATCCAAGAGCTTATTTTAATTTTGTTGGTACTAAAATACAAAGGCTACATGAATATGTATAGTGTTTTTGGTTCAGGTGTATATTTCTCAGTAGTTGTTGGGCTGTTGCTGGGACTGGTACCATTAGGATTATTAGCCTTTCTAGTGGTAATTTACACATAGTTTTGTGCAGATCAATAGTAAAAACGTTTAATAAAAAACATTGGTTTTATATTCTTGTTGTAGCCACTTTGCACACCAATCGGAGCATCTTCCAAAGTTGTCCAATTAGTTGAGATACTTAGAACAAAAAATTCACAATCTATTAGCATTTTAACATGGTTCATATCAGCCTTTACAAATTTCAGTAAGTATAACATCGTCCAAATGAGATGTGTTTGAACCATTTCCTTTTCTATTTAATTTAAATATTATCTCTCTTTTTTTCTTTCTTAAACATTTTGTAAATTTTAAGTTGCTCTAGATTTGTATTAGGCTTTTGTAATTTCAATATAAAATGTATGAATGAATGATGAATTAATTAATTACTTTAGAATGCAGAAGAGTGAGGAAGAAACTAAACTTTCTGAAACTGTTGTTGACCCTTTATAATACACTAAGTTTTAAAAGTGTAATTTATAGAATAGTAACAAATTCTTGTCTCCTCCTATAGTGTTATTCATGTGAAGAACATTAAATATATTTTTGTTGTTTCAGCCCGAGTATTTACCATAACCGTGGAGTCTGGAGATTTGAGTTTGTTGCTGAATTTTGTAATTAATACTGTGCTAAGCACCTCTGTGATGATAGCCGCCATAACTTACAGAAATGCCAAACCCGATAGGGAAGTGAAGAAAATCAATTAAACGCCAAAATCGTACAATGACAAGACTAGTCAATATTATATATTTGTGATGTAGATGATGAGATATTATGAGATATGTTACCCTCTCGCCTGAACTTTATTGGTTTTGAGTTTTAGAATGTATTTTACCAATTTTAAATAATAATAAATGTTACCCCATAATTCAAGTTTGTTAATACCATTTTATTTCATAAAACCCTACTTACATTTTTGTTGTTTCTGTTAAATGTTCCTCAGATTTTTAAGCTTCTTCAAGTAGAGCATGCCAAAGCAATTAATTTAATAAGTTTGTTAATGGAATTAACAAGGCAATGTTACTATATTCAACTAAATATTCAATGTTACATAATCTTTTTTTAGTTACACCATTATGTTAGCTTATTATTATAGAAATGGTATACCATACTGAGTTACCTAGAATACCCCATAATTTTAATCCAAGAGCTTATTTTAATTTTGTTGGTACTAAAATACAAAGGCTACCTGAATATGTATAGTGTTTTTGGTTCGAGTGTATATTAGTACCGGTTAATACCATTTTGTGTCATAAAACCCCACTTAAATTTTTGTTGTTTCTGTCGTCCATAAATGTATAGCTAGCTCTATTGAGTAAATTAAGTATAGAGGTCGTGCATTTGCTGACAGCACCGGTACATCAAAAAATTCTCATCAATGTATCTTTTTTTAACAATACAATTTTTAATAACCGAAAAAAACTAGTTTATATAGCTTAGAATTAAGCTTTTTTGTTAGTTGGAAGAATCATTGTAAGTTATGATACCTTTACAAAATATTGAATGTTGACCTGCAATATTGCTTCGAACTGATTATTTCTGGTTCTATGTGTGTTCATGTTATTTCTAGTAACAAATTATCAATAATATTCAATCGACGCCACTGGAGTGAGTGAGTAGAAGACTTTATCATAAAAACCTGCAAATTAAAGTCTTATGTAATAATTCAGTCATGAGTCAAATTTCTGTGACAATATAAAAAGTATTGGGGACTATCGAGTAACTGGAAACACTTGCATTTCTCTTTCAAACAATGCTTAGATAAATATTCAGTAGCTTCCCTATCAGTTGAATTCTCGTGCGGTGAAACGTGGAACTTGGCCGATTTACTTTTTTCGTTAGATTTCTAGTACCGTCTTCTAAATGCTTGGACTCCCAGTACATGTTTTACAAATATTAAGGGTTACATATTTTGGTGACTCCCTCGTATGCAAATCACGAACTTTTAAATAACAGCCAACCCTCAGACTACTAATGTTGTATTCTATGGTCAACCAATTCTCTTTGGTTTTCATCGTTAGTTGTTACTTGAACTTTATAATAGTGTGACTACACATCTGAACACGTTTATCAGTAGATTTCGTGTGCAAATTTGTTCTCAGAAATTTATTTGTATAGGCCAAGAATTTACCGACTCTTCTTATACTAATTATCAATTATGGAGGAACGGCGGTAAACGGCATTTGTTTAATAAACGAGTTACTTATAACTTATAACACGAGCGGAGCGAGTGTTTAATAAACGAGTGACTTAAAAAATTTACCGAACGTGTTGCATACTGTACTTTTTCTACGACCGTTAGTTTTTGGGTACATTTTCGCAAAACTACACGAATACTTAACCGTCATAATTGACAAATATCATAATTCAAGGCGTGGGAAATATCACCGAAAACATCCGATTACTGCCAAACCCGTGCGGTAAAATCCCGGAAATATCCGAAGCGACTCGGATCCGTCGGAAACGAAACTGACGTGGTAAAGTGATGCTTCTCGCATGCTAGATCGGTGTGTATTTAGATATTTTACAGACAGGAGTAGAAAAATTTTTTTAATTGTACCCGGAAATACATTTCTCGGGTTTTTAACACAGAGGGCAAAAATAAGGGGCATTTCAAAAATGGATATAACTGAGAAGATAAAAATGCATAAAAAGGCAGAGAAATAAACTGTATAAAAGCACTTTGATTCCTTAAAATTTAGAGAAAAAAGAATGTATATAATATAATACAGTTCTTAGATAGAGATTTTTTGTTATAGCTGGATACATGTCACAACCGCAGCGATCACGGACTAAGACGACATTCTTCTAATCTGTGCGTAGACGTTTCCGAGTAAACGAAGTTGGTAGAACAATTTGTAGTAAAATAAATATTAATGTCTTTAGTCAACAAATAATTTAATGCGTTCGAAAATAAAAAACGAATGCAGTTTACAATAAATAGAAAAGCGATACTTGTAAATGATTGCAAAGGAATAGAACAACCATTATTCTCGGAAGTCTTGCAAGGTCTTAAAAATTTAGAACTTCTCTCTTCTTCATTTCGAGGCATTGCAATGATTTGAGGTCGTAATGCATACTCTTTGTACTCTACAACTCTGGAAACTCTAGTCAAGCGTAACTGGAATGATCCAGTCGCGTAGAATCTAAGCGCTATTAAATATTTTTCAACATGTCAGCAAGTTCCTGTACAGTCCTTTTGATATAAATCTTTTTTAAATTCGATGATATTAAGATCATTAAACAAATCACTGCGTTCTCTTATTATACGTCTTCTCGGTGAGACATCGCTGCTTGGATCAGAACTAGAACTGCTCAACAAATTGTCAAAGTTAGCACCTCCTCCATTACTGATAAAACTTATCGCCAAACTTTACAATAAATGCAACCCCCAACAAAACTAAACATAATTAAAAAAAATGTTTAAACAAAACAATTTACCTGGATTAGGACCAATGAATTATATGTTCTTAGAAATTTATTTGCATAGTTCAAGAATTTACTGACTTTTATTAATTTTCATTAAACTGGGGCCCAATTTATTCCAAAAATTTCTGTTTTTTTTTTTTTTTGGTTTTACTCTTTCTTCCCAAATAGTACAAGGACGTCCGTAAAACGTCCTCGGGATATCGGACGGGACGTAGCGTATATCTTAAGGATATACTGTTTAGGCTAAGGGACATCCTTAAGACGTTTCAAGGATATAGGATATATATCAGATACGGATGTCCGTAGGTTGTTTGTTGGGATATACTAAGGATATCCAGTTATTCTAGTTGAGACAGCGTTAGTATATCCGACTGTGAGGATATAGGATCTTATATACGAGGGGGTACCCATAAAAAACTGGAATTAAATTACCTCGCGCAGAGCTTGTATAGTAAACTTTTCTGCCGCCAGGTTGTGGATAGTACAATTTATTGCGAGTTCAACGCCACTTTCGTTTTAAATTTAACTTGTTTTGTTCACTTGCAGTGCGTTAACGCTGTTTTTTTGATATTTCGTTTTTTTCGATGGCAAGTTTAAAAGAACAACGTGCAGCCGAGAAATTTTGTTTTCTGCTCGGTAAAAGTGCTGCTGAAACTGTTTCAATGTTAAAAACATTGTCGTGCTGAATCAACAGCTTGAAACGGATACAGATTTTCTTTCAAAGATCATTACTGATGTAAGCAACAGTCCAGCCAATGGAAGACGTCACTGTCTCCCCGTCGAAAAAAATGTCGTCAGGTCAAATCAGACATCAAAACGATGCTGATTTGCTTTTTCGACATCAACGGCTTAGTTCATGCAGAGTTCGTTCCACCAGGTGAGACCGTTAATTAAGCTTTTTATCTGGAAGTTTTATGAAGATTGCGCAACAGTATTCGACAAAAAAGACCCGATTTATGGCGGGCAGGGGACTGGTGGATGCTAATACACCTGCACACACAGCAATTTCTGTTAAGCAGTTTTTGGCTAAAATTGGCATGGTTCCTCTGCCCCATGCACCTTACTCGCCTGATCTCTCTCCGTGTGACTTCTTATTTCCACGTATAAAAAGGGACATGAAAGGACAGCGATTTGACAACATTGAAGAGGTCAAGAAAAAAACGAGGGATGGGCTGTCGGCTATAGCCAAAGATGAATATAAAAAATGTTTCGAACAGTGGAAGCACCGCTGGGACAAATGTACTAGTTGTAATGGAGAGTATTTTGAAGGGGATAAGGTCGTTCTGTGATTTTCAAAACAATATATAGTTTATAAAAAATGATTCCGGTTTTTTTTTGGGTACCCCCTCGTAGATATACCAGTGGATCCTGCTTATTAGATCATTTCCAACAGCCTATGAAAAATACTGGAAAGGTAATGTCCATTAGTCAAATTGGTTGTATTCGGTATTCGCGTGTGACGGAATTAACCTATTGGGTATGGTTGATGAAGTCATTACTGGAATAGTAGGCGATATTTGAAATGCACAAGTTGTTTCCAATTAATATTTAATCTTTCATTTTGCTTTTGATGGTAAAAGTGAAGGACTGCCGATTGACACCATTAATAAAACACATTTTACACACATCTGATTTTTTTCTATTGTAGACATTTAAAAAATGCAGTTATATAATATAGCAAAAATATAGAACAACCTAAATTAAAGTATCTTAAAAATAAAGTAAGAATCTTAAACTAATAACTAATGTTTGACAGTTTTTCTGTCATTCTTTGGTGAAAGTAACTCTTTTCAGCCAAGCAGCTATTGAATTCTCACATTCTTTTCTTGTTTGTGATGTATATCCGCATCCGCATTTATGTATTTCATTTCATTAAATATAAAACGCATTAAACTCTCATCGGTAAGATCTCTTTCATGAGAGTGGGTACTATCGCGCGCAAAAAAAAACTAGAACCAATAGGACAATATTTTAAAATAAAAATTTTCCTAGTTTTTTTATGCTACTATCACCATGAAAACAAGCCTTAAAAAATAGTAAAAACTATACTATATAATTAAACATACATTGCTTACTTAAATAAAAAATGAGTTTAATTTTGTATGCCTTAATTTAACTACTGCTTTATTTTTGTTTTCAAAAACAAAGCAATAAGATACGACAAGAAGTCTAGAATCAAAAAAGGTATGTAATTTAAAACGTATGATATAGGTATATAGGTTAAAAAAAAAGTCAGATTTATTTTAACTCGGTTCAGCAATCATTCCTTTAAAAAAGTATCAACTAAGTAATCGCCATAAAATGCTTATTTTATTAAATTATATTTCTCATACGTTATTTATAATACATTTACGTCCTATTTATTTTAAAAAAACATAATATCTACTTACGAAATATTAATTTGGCCAATTTTGATTTTGAAAATTTCTCCTTTTTCTTCATACCCAACCGATTAAATTTCATTGCAAATTCATTTAAAATCAGCGGGGTCAGAGCTTGTTTTACAAACTCACAACTGCTGCCGCCGCCTGATCTTGCTATCTCATTGGCCTAGCAAAATAATAAAAAACAAGGCATGATGTTGGTAGACTACACAACAATGGTTCGTTCAGGTTAGAATTTATCAAATCATATGTTATATATTACCATAAAGTAAAATAATAATAACACAAAAAAATAACTGAAATGAAAGCACTGAAAGCAGTAAGCAGAGCACACGAAATACTCAAAATAGACGCCAAGTCGCCGTATACCGTATACCGCCAACGAAAACAGGGTCGAAAAGATGGCGGACGACGAGATGGAGGAGGAGCCGACGAGAGTCGAGCGAGTCCGTCACGGCATGACCACGAGTAGTTGCGTCATTGGTTGCAGCCGAACAGTGTTGTCAAATGGAATCTTATAAACAAATATATTATTTTTACATTTTTGTAATTTTTTCACTTAGATGAATCCGTATTTTCTGTGGTATTTTTATTAAAATAGTGTCCAAAAAAAAAAGAAAACAAATTGATTTTAATGGTTTGATTCCGGTTTTTTTTAGGACTTGGCAACACTGACGTCGATGTAGATCTGCACAAAAACGTTGCCAATAAAAAGTCTCCCAAAACACCACAAATTTAGAAAAACTTATTATTTTCCTCCTCAGTTGTTCAAAATTTAACTTTTTAGGCTTCTATTCTAATGTTCCCATTATGGTGCAAGGGGATATCCTCAGGCCATCTATTTAGAGGATATCTGTGGTATATCGTGTACAATAAATCCGCTAGCTATACATTCAGAGGATATCCCTGGGATGTATTTTACAGTATATCCTTGGTATATATGCTATCATATATCCTAAGAATATCCTCCACATCTCCTGGGACATGCGACTTAAATGGGACATTGACCGGATATGCTGGGGATATTGTGTGCTATCTGGGTTTTAATAGAATTTCCAAATCTGACGAAATTGAATTTTCACACCTAGAAATTCATTCTTAATATTTTTAAAAGCTGTGTTTTGATTTACTTATGCAAAAATATTTATAATTATATAACCTCTAAACGCAAAGAAGTTGTGTCACGCGCACGTGCTAACAATTTGCTGTAAAATTATGCTCTCAAACTGCCATGACAGTTGCCAAACCAAAATTAAGGGACAACAGTTGTGAAATTTTTTAAAAGTCGTTTTTTTTGAATTTTTACTTTTTTCCCAATTGGAATTAAAATTTTAAAATTTTGCAAAATATACCCAGAAATACGAACTGAAAGGTAATGTTTGGAACCACTGACCATTGCGTACTTGAAATAAAAATAAATAAAATTTCTCTACGTTTTTTCTCGCTTTTCTAACTTAGAAAGGTAAAAGAAATAATGATATCTTTAGTGAACAAATATTTTCATGTGTTGGAAAATAAAAAAAAGAATGCAATTTACAATAAACAGAAAAGCGATACTTGGGAAGAAATAGAATGAAATGGAATAGAAAATGAAATTAATAAAATGAATGAAAAATGAAAAGAAATAGAAATAGAATGCCATAACTATAAATCTCGGACTCTTAGCAAGGTCTTAAAAATTTTACACTTTCCTATTCTTCATATCTAGTTCTAGTTACGTTAGATACAACTCTATAAACTGTTGTTAAGTGTAGAATCTAAGCGCTGTTAAAATATCGTCGCCTCCAAAACATTTTCCAACAAGTTAATGTGCAGAGCTTTTGATATAATTACTTAGATTAAAATTCGTTGTCATTAAGCTCATTAAACAGATCATTTCGTTCCATCATTATAGGTCTTCTTGGTGGAGTATCTTCATCGCTGCTTGAATCAGAAGTGGAACCGACCAACAAGTTGTCAAAGTTAGCTGCATCCATTACCGAAAAAAGTAATCCCCAAATTTTACAAAAAAAACTCAAAATAATAAAAAAAAAATTGATTAGACCTTTCTATTACCATCAAAATCCATGCGACAAAAACAAAGACGATTTACCTAACCGTGTGATAGCGCCCGCCTTTAGTGAATATCAAAAATTGATTAAACAAAGTCCATATCAACAGCTTGATAAATATTTATCGGAGGTTAATGCATACGGCCTTTATATGAAACCAAACCTGGTTTCCCGCATCCCGAAGCCTTTCGAGTCCGTCCCTGTCTCGAAAAGTTCTTCGCTCGTATACCCAAATTCTAAACAATTCGCGAGCCGACCCCGGAGCTTTTTAAATATCTGCCTCTAAGGCACTGCCACCAGTAGTCGGCAAATATCCGTTTACGAAATAATCAGTGTTGGCGCGACAATGCATCAGTGCGGGTCGCTCTTTGGGGGTCCGCTGGCCCTCGTGGTGGCGGCCATGGCGTTCGGTTTGAGCAACGGAGAAACGCTCACACCCCCCTATTTCAATCTGGCCGAAGGGAAGAATATTACGGCGACAGCCACCTGTGGCGTCGGTGTCGAAGGACCGGAACTTTTCTGCAAGTTGATCGGATCGAATTCGGACAACGAGCCCAGCGTAAACGTTATTCAGGGTCAGGTTTGTATCGCCCTTTATTTTTTTTCCTAATAATAGCATATTTACTAAATTAGATATATTTTAAAGCAAACATGTTTCGAAAAAAGCAGCTATTGAATTATCACATTCTTTTGATATTTGTGATATGTTTGCCTTCTTATCCGCATCTTAAAATATTTTAGTTATGAAAAAGACAGGTTTTATAAATCTGTACTTCATAAAAAAAAATAAAAAGAAGAGATTGACATCTTATATTTTTAAAAAACATATTTCAAAAATCTCAACATTCGGCATTTAAGTAAAGGCTTGATTTCACGCTGATAATACTCTCATGAAAGGGAACTTAGAAGCTAATCTCCACGATGGACTATTTTCATAATACGAAAAAAACATTGATGTAGGTATACTTTTATGTATTTCGTCACATTAAATACAAATCCCATAAAACTCTCATTGGTAACATCTCTCTTATGAGAGTAGGTACTATCGCGCGCAAGAAAATTGAGCCAAATTTGACTTTTCAGTTTGACAGTAAAGGCCTATTTTCATGTAATATTTTTTGCCAACCTTAAAATTTTTCTATTTGTTTTTGGACGTGATGGTACTTGCTATCGCGAAAACAAGCCTTAAAATGGAGGAAAAACGGTTTCATGAATTAACTCAACGACCATTTTAATATGAAAATTTTACTTTATGCAGGTTGCTTCCTGGATCCATTTTAAGAAAAAAACACTTTTCTGAAAATAAAATAATATATATGTTTTTTTAAATTATGCAAATATATATCTAAAAATATAATTTTGTTCTATTAGTAAAATAGTAAAAAAAAATATTTTAGATTTGTATTTCTATTTTTGTTAACTCTATAGCATGTAGATTACATCGCAGAAAACATGCATTGGAAATACTTTATTGATTATGCTTTATTTTTGAAAATATTTTGCTGCTGCGTGAATGCACCACTGGTTTTATCTGTGGAACAAAACTTTGTTATTGCAAGTCTAGACAAGTAGTTGTTTAGTATTAGTTTGTGCCTTGTGCAGTGAACGTTGCAGTTCGTAAAAATGGCATTTCCGAGGTATTTGACACAGAAGGAATTAGAGGCGGCTATGGAGGAGATCGTGATGGATGAGGACAATAACAATGAAAGTCGTAAGTATTATTTGGATTTACGTATTCTTATGTATTGTATTGTATTGTAAATTTAGACTTAAAATTACTTGAAAAAATATTTACAGCAGATATTGACGCGGTCTATATTCTACCTGATGTGGATACCTTGACTGACGAAGAAGATATGAACGATAATATAAATCTACAAGAGTTTGGGGAACCAATTGATATAGTTGGAACTTTCGAGTTACATACACCGAATGATACAACTGTCCTCTAATTCATCAACTACTGAACCTGACTCATCAGATGATGAAACCCTGGAATTCAAAAGAAGACGTATGCTTTCTGCAAACCACAGGCTTGCTTCTATTGTTAAATGGAAGAAGGGTCACACTCACACCTCTATATCCGATGATTTTAGAACATGTGAGGAACTAAAAATACGCTTTCTGGAAAAACTCCGCTTGAAATATTTTTTAAGTTTTTTGATGACGAAGTTATTGATTTGATTTTAAATCTTACATTGCTTTGCGACTTTTAAAAACTGATAAATCTTGCACCTGCCATAGATAAAGTGCCTTATGATAATTAAGGTCACCTCATAATTGTTCATGCTAATAAAGCCCGAAGGAGATGTAAAATCTGCCACAGCCACACAATTTATGTTTGTAATAAGTGTAATATGCATTTATATACGTCATCCCTTGTAAAATATCAACAAAAATGAAAACGGGTGTTACCAGTGGTGCGCTCACGCACAATAAAATATGCTTTTTTTGTATCAAATCAGGTTCTATACGGAAAACAATCTACTTTTAGTTGTTTTCTGTCGAATTTGAACTTTCTTTTGTATATTTATGTATAAATTATATGTTACATCTTATGTGCCCCAAAGATTTTTTTTTTTTTGACATATGTAATGTGCAACAAAATAAATAATTTCAGAGCAAAAACATATATTTTTATTTTTTTTTATGCTTGGAATAATATGGGTTAAAAAGTCTTTGACTAAGTTTTTGAACCCGTTTATCGGGAGATGTTTTGTCTCAGTCTTAAGTTTCTTAAGAAATGGATGCAGTAGTAATTTGAACCTAGCTTACTTGCATTAAGACGGAAGAAATCAAATCTGAGGTAGTCCGTATTCCTCGTATTACAGGGACGAACTTTATTCAAATGCGAAAAATCTGCAAATTAGACACTTAAGTATATAAGCGCTTGACAGTGTAAGGATTTTAAACTCCGAAAATTTAGATCTAACATCCTCTCTGTAATTGAGGTTAGTGATTTTTCTTATTACCCTACGTTGTAAGCCAAATACTCTTGCTGCACCGGGAGCAAGGACCATAAAGCAAGTGCGAGCCAATTAGAGCATGATATAATACTGTCAATAATATGTTACAATCTACACTGCCCTATAGGCTACATATTAGAAAAATGTTTTTTGAGGATTTTTTAGACACTTGGCCCGTATGGTGATACCGATTATTTACTTCGTTGAAGAAGATTAAAGAAACTGTTTTATCTTCGCTAAGGGTTAAGCTATTTTTTGTAAACCAGTCCTTAGCTCTTGAGTTAGCTTCAGCAAGTGCTTCAGTAAGATTCTTTTAAGGTCATTCTCACTGGTAGTATACTCGACGTTTTATTGTCATAAACAACGTATTGTTCCCTCTCAGCTCAACTAGGCTTCGAGTCAAGATATCAAAATTGTGATGTTTAATTTTTTTATTTTTTTTGTAATAGAGCCCAGTCGTCTACGCAGTCGAAAACTTTAGTAATTTTGCAGAATGTTGCCTTCTTCTTGTCCTTTGACCATAGCTTTAATTAGATTGGTGATAACAGAGTCGGTTGATCTACCCTCCCTGAATCCGCATTGCTGACCAAAGTAAAGATTAAAATTCTGAAAATGTTTGTTAATTTGTTCTTTTAATACTGATTCTATGATTTTTGATTTACAAGGTACTATACAAATAGCTCTTAAGTTGTTTGCAGTAACTTCGCCACCTTTATGTATTGGGAATATTTTTGATATTTTTAAAATATTTGGCTACACTCCCTCCTTGATTAGAGTTGTATTACAATATTCTTTTTCTATTCCCGTCTGTAAATTACCTAATTACACACCGATCTAGCGTGCGGGAAGCGTCACTTTACCACGTCAGTTTCGTTTCCCACGAATCCGAGACCCTTCGGACATTTCCGGGATTTTACCGCACGGTTTGTATCCAAAAACTAACGGTCGTAAAAAAAGGATAGTATGGAACACGTTTGGTAAACTTTTTAAATCACTCGTTTATTAAAAAGTCGCTCCGCTCGTGCCAAATAAGCTCGTGAGTCAAATGCCGTTTACCGCATTTGTTGCATAATATACTATTATTTGCTTTAACATTTTCCTGGTTACGTCAAAGCGATCTTGGCTATTTTTACTTTTTAATTTATCCAAATAATCCCTTACTTGATTGAGGGTCGCTTGTGAGAATTTGAACAAAGGAAGATCTTTGGTTCTGTTTAATGTGTTTGCCGCAATTTCGTTTGTGAATACCTGTTTTTTTTAGGGGGTCGATTTTTATTGATTATATTTCCGTAGGTCCTACCTATTTCTGTCGTCTTCAATTATTTTCTTACTGAGACTGCATTTTGCTTTCTTTATTTCATTTTTGTAAAATTTGTTGTAGCTTTTAATATTTCTTGTCACTGTTTAGCTGTTTCATCAGACAAAGATTATTTCTTATTAATTCAAGTTTTGTAGTGAACCATTTTTGTTTCTTAATTACATTTGTAATTATTATTACTTCTTTCATGGAAAAGCAAATCTCAATGGTGTCGGTAAGAATACCTATTAGAGATGAAAATTTTTGATTTAGAGACAATTTGGCATCATAAGCAAAAGTCAGTCGGTCTTATATTTAATTTCTATTTCTTTTAAGAATGTTTTAACTAGCAATTGACTGTATATTTAATCGTTATTTTAAAGTGCTTTTTACAGCAAACATTTGGACCACGTAGGAAGCATAACAGTAATTTCATTCGTAACTTCACAAAGTCTTTTCGTCATTTTTATATAAACATAACCATAACGAGCCGGCAGAGATTTAAATCAATAAAATTTTGCAAATATCCCAACACGCCCCCTCCCAAAATTAATTGCAAACTTAATATAAAATTTGCACACCAATCTTACGGAAATACAATTGTTCACATTCTATTTTATAATCTAATAGTTTTCTTGTGCAGCCTGAGGAACGATAACAAATTTGGTCCAACATTTTTGTTGAAAACCTAATCACACCAGCAAAATATTACTCTAAATCTAACTTAGTTCGAAATTTCAAGAGATTTTAGGATTTTGAGCAATATTGAAGCAACCATTCTTATCTTCAAAAATGATTATTCGCTTGACTGTAATAATATTCATACATGTTGCTAAAGATTTTAACCAAATCGCTTCTTTAACAGCTTCAAACAAAGCGATACATTCAGCTTCTGTTGATGAGGTAGCTACAGAATTTTGACGTTTTCCAGCATACATTTTTCAAATAATTTAAATAAATATCGCTTCGATAATCCCCTCGTATGTAATTTAGTTTAATATTTAGTGAACCTTGTAGATATCGTAAAATTCTCTTGATATATTTCCACAGCTCTTTAAAAGCGATAATTTTGGGGCACTTTTCGAAACTTAAAGGAGCTTTTGTATCTCTACTTTCCTTTGTCAGCTTCACCTTTAGGTCGAGTAGTCGTATTTTGACGGAGGCCAAACTTAAATTATAATCTCATAGGGTTTCGATGGTTGTTATTGCACTATCATATGATTCGTAGTAGATGTGACACTTTGTCCGCTTCTCCTAGTTTAGTTACAGTTGCTAATAATACAGCAATCAGGTCATCAAATACAGTTCCAACTGAGGCGCTAAAATTTTTTTTCAATTTCAATTCTACACAAAGTCACTAATATTGATATTCACTGATTGCTCGAAGTCGTTTTAATTATGCACACGGAATTTTAAACAGATTCTGCAGCCATGGTGTCACAATAATTATCATAGTGTTTCTACACCCGACAAATTATTTTCCAAATTTCCATATGAAGCAATTTAAAAAAAAGTTACTTTTAATCCAATGTCTTATGTGTGAAAAGTGTACTAGTTTTCATGAAAAATATGATTTTTTTTACTTGTAATTTTTTATTTCATCCATCTAGCATTGGAAATATATATTTTTTACTAAAATACCTAGTATCACCACGCTTCGGACGCTTCAGGTACTTTAGCGACGGGTTTGCCAGCTATCTGATGCTTTAGGAAGATTTTAGCTAATATATTATTATATATTATATATTTTCAGATTTGCTAATTCCGATGGTCGTATCACATAGAAAAAGTATCGCATAGTAATACGTCAATAAACTTCTTCAGACACTAGCGACCAATATGGAGTTTATCAAACTTTTTGCCATAATATAAGACGGTAACACACTTTTTTCAAGTTTTGATTCATCCAAGAGATTTAAATAGAATAAAAAATATTGATAATGCTGCTCTATGCTGTTGACATGGTTATAATTTACCACTCAGAGTTGAACAAAATGGTAGTCAATCCTCCCGAGAGTTGCTTTTTCTTAAAAAACAATCACTTTCTCTTCTTCTTCGTTTTTTTACTTTTACTTTAATATTTTGCTATCTGGGGCAAAATCTTATTTCAAGCACTCCAAAACTCACTTTGTCTAATATCCTTATTAAATACAAGAAATTTTCCTTTCAGACTGATCTTCACTTGGCTAAAAATCTCGCTACATGCCTTTTTGTAACTGTTTAACAATTAGGGAGAGTTTTTCAAAATACCTTAGCTCTAGTTTTCCAGTCTACATAACCAGACTTGGACTAGACTAGCGAAATAGAATTGAATATCGGAAACAAATATTATTTAGAAATTGAGTGTGGCCGATATATTCTCCAAATCTTAGTATATTATATTTACATATTTTGGCAATGTTTTATATAAATGGGTATAGGCTCCCAGTCTTTTCACTACATACAACTCAAAAATTTGAATGGAAGGGAACAAATGTGGCTAAAATATAAAACCTCAAAAGAAAACGGCTTGGATACGGTTTAATAGGCATTAGGATCAAAATTCGAAATTAGATACCCCAAAATCGTACTATTTACAAATCTTCTGGATTTCTCCTACGTCGGCGTTGATGGATCGAACTTGCAAACATTTGGACAATCAAACGTTGGGAGAAACTGGAACTGTAAGCTCTGAAGAAACCAATATGATGATTGGCAAAACGTTACAAATTTTAATTTATATACAACCGACTCAGGAGGAATCGAGAAGATTTGTAAACAGTAATTACACTTTGAAAAACGTTAAAACCTTTCTTGTGACTAAAATTTGGCACTCTAACACGGGGTATCCCATAACAAATTCGCCATAGAGGACTATTTATAATATAAATTAAATTCAAGCAAATCAAAAAATTTAATTGATAATGTGCCATTAAAATTGTACTATTATTTTCGAAGATTCCATACTTCATGATGAATGGAATCGGTTTTTTTCGAAAATGACACAAATAAAATAATGATATATATTATCTCAAATGTGAATTATTATGACTATATTTTTGAAATATCGAATATATATTGAAAACTGGCGTTGAAATAAATATATTTTAAAGCAAACATGTCCACAAGGGCCAAATTTTTTTAATTTTAAGGAAAACGGCTTTCTTTGAGTTATTTATTTTATTCTATAAGTATAAGAATATGCGAATATTAGAGCATCCATGGTAGTTTTCTACATTTCCAAATTAACCAATTAGTTAACAAAAAAAGTTACTTTTACTTTTTAGAGAAGCTTTGCAAAACTTGGTAACTTTAAGTAATCATTACAAATTATTATATTATTGGACAATGATAGAAACACCGAAAGAAGTACTTGAAATATAAATGCACAAACCTGACTTTTAGTATAGTAGTAGTATAGAAAAAGATGCAAATTATATTTTTTTACTGTTTTTTTTTCTTCCATCTTACGAATCCATCTTATAGAAAATAATTTTTTCTACTAAAGTATTTAGTGGCTTCACACTTAAGACGTTTCAGGTATTTTAACCACTGGTTTAGTAGTTACTATTATTTTAAGATTTTCCAATTCTGATGGTCACATCACCCCTCACCTAGCACATAAAAAAAGTGTAATATACCAATACGCCGATAAACTTTTTCAATTACTCGTTTATTAAAAAATCTTAAAATCTTCCCTGCAACCAACGTTTGGGACGCTAATACAGGGTATACCATAACATATTCGCCATAGCGCCACAGGAACATTTGTTATTAACGAGTACTAGGCAGTTCCGAAGATAAGAAAAATAAGAAAAAAAATTCGATATTAGTTTGAATCTACAAGCTAGAGGGCACTTTCGTACTTAATGAATTGGAAAAGGACACATAACGGTGTATTACCTCAAATGTGAATTCCGTATATTATTATTACACGATTTTTTGAAATTTGTATAAAGACTGTTTTCAATAATTCTCTTACTCTAGAATTTGATGTTAAGATTGTTGAACTACTTAAACAAGTCACTAAATTATCGTCTAAGGCGTAAAAATGTGGTAAGTTATGGAAACAGTCAAGTCATAGATTGAATTTGAAGAAAAATTCAATTTAATGGTGATGTGAATAATTGCAAAACTTTATATTATGCGATGCAAAAAATAATAAACAAAAACATATTGCGGTTGTCAAATTGGTGCAGTTCGTTTGTTTTTGCTACACACGCCCTACGAGTAAATAAACAAACGCAAACCACATTTTAAAATAAAAACCGAGACTTTTCTGTGCGTTATGTTATAAAGAAATTTATTAACGGACGAGGATATTTCCTGAAATTTATTGACACATTTCATGAATAATACAACATTTTTAAAAGCAAGGTAATCCGTATCATAAATCCTATTTGGTAATTATGATGAAACTTCATAGATTTGATCCATTCAAAATATCGATTCAAAATAAACGAAATAATTTAAGAAACAAAATGTTTTGGGTAATAGGTTAGTGAAGTACTGTTTTCAAAATTACCTATTAAGCAGGTATTACGAATAAAATAAATAAATACTTTTTACATACCTATAGAAGAAAAGAGAAGCTTTTAATGACCTGCATATTTTTTTTTTAATTTGTTTAATGTATAATAAAAACAACACTAAATCTTTGTTTTAAAATTAATGTTGTACACACATCTTTTATTATATAAGAAAACAAATTATAAAATACTGTCTTCTGGTCGTAAAAGAAAAACCCTAAGCGATTAGAAGCCATAATTCAAACGAGTCTCCTGTGTCCTGCTTTAATTTGATCCTTGACTTATATAACAACGTTATCAAGTCATTGTTATATCCATATTTCCGGAGCGTATTCACGGAGAATGTATAAAATATTTTATCAAGCAATGAACTTGTCAATAACCCAGCGCAAGAATACGCTGACTGTTGGTTTGACTTGAAACTCTAGACGAATTAAAATTATCGCTTCGCTCCGCTTTCTTTCTAACCCAAGACCTAAATGCCTATTCTGATAAAACCTATTACGGCGAATTAAAGACGCGGGTGGGAATCAAACAGACCACTTTGCTTTAAGCTGTCAATTTTGCTTAAAATTTTGAAAAGATTGTTCCCTGTTTAAACGCTCATTAAAGTTTGATTTCAAAAGTTAAAAAAAAAACGACCGCACAAAATAAAAGAAAACATTCGTCAATCAAATGTTGCAATGCACAATGAGTTAAATATCATAAAAATAAAATAAACAAAATGTGCAGCAATAGTAAAATTATATTTTACTTTATTTTAGCGAAGGATTTGTTGGTTAAACAAATGGACTTATCTGCAAGATTGGAATACAGTTTTGCTAGTCCAGAGCGAGCGAAGCCAGTTTTGAAGTCCTGAGATTTAAAAATATATCCAACTTAGAATGTGATACTTACATAAATTTAGTGTTCTTCAAATAACAGCCAAAGAACACGTACATAATATGGAAAACTCGACACCTGTAATTTTGAACCAATCAAAACGTGTTTTTTGACAGATCACCATGGCAACGGTAGAATTTTGGTGCAATTATACTGGAAATTTTTATAGAACCATGCGTGGTTATGGAAATCTATCAACGAAATCAATTTTGATTAGTTAAAAACTACTACTACTAGCGAATGCTACAAGAGACCAAATTAAATCTAAGACATTTGATAAACTTCCATGGGCAAATAACGTTGTTTGATTTATCCATACAACAAATTATTCAATGATATGAAAAATATTTCGGACTAGTTTAACAAACCAACAAATTTTTCTGGCCAAATATTTTCCACTGGAATTTTCCCTTGTAGAAGTGGAATTTGAATATTTATCAGGTTCGGGATATCGTTGAGGGCTAATTTGTTCACCGTGTATAAAGGAGTAAAATCGAATTGAGACACTTTCTGATGCAACCTTTTTACCAATAAAAAAAAATCAAATTTAATCAAAAATATTTACAGTAATTTTAATTAATCTGCCAACCACTACCGGCTGTGCATTAAACCCAGAAGTTGCGATACTAACCCATTGTGAACCTGAACACTAACCATAATTGTTTTATTGCAGTATTGTGATTATTGTGACCCCAACACACCTGGCAAACATCACCCGCCCGAACACGCGGTTGACGGCAAAGAGACCTGGTGGCAAAGTCCGCCCCTTTCGCGGGGGATGAAGTACCAGGAAGTGAATTTAACCATCGACTTGGGACAGGTAAATTTCTTAAGCATCTTTTAAAAAATTCCCTACGAACTCATATACAGACTTATTGTTATTGATATTCGATAATTTGTCAAAAAGGCAAAAACGAATCTAAAACATTTCATATAGTTAAGTACTACTTTTTTTATAAATTGGTTTTGATTGGTACTGTCTTCACCAATTAATGAAACCGATTAAATTTGGGAAGTAGTGGTAAAGTCTAGATGCTTCTCAAAATTCCAGTTTTCGCTTTTTTTATTCATATTTTGGTTTAGGCTAAGTGGGAGTTGATGGGTTTTATAATTGACTATGTAATGACACAGTAATTGCAATATTTTTCCTGGAAAGTAATGGTTTTGTGATTTTGTGAAATTTATTTCCGAAAATGTCAGAAATTTCCTTTCAGAAGAAATATTTGAGTTTGACACTGGAAAATAATGTCCAGCATTTTTTCTTCCAAGTTTTTCCGATTTCCCAATACCGTACCTGTTTCTTATTATTAGGACAACCCGTACATCTAGTAGCTGTAAGGGCTTATATAAATGGAACAAGCTATATATTTCTCAAGAAATTAACTGGCGTTCTTAAATGCTTTTCAGAAATAAATATGTATAAATCAAGGAAAATTGTTTTTTGGAGAAGTATTCAGAGCTAAGTTCGTGCCTTGCCCTACTGAGTCTAATTAGATTTTGTTGTTGATAAGGAGGCCGTGACTGATGGCACTGCAATCCGATAAGATAGTAAATAAATTCATTCAAAAAAATTCAATATTATGTCAAACGAACTTAAAATCGACATGGATATTATCGCTCCTTTTCAAAATTGTTTTCATAGTGTATAGGTGTTCGAAAAGTGCTAAATGTATGTGTAACTTGTATTTGTTTAATGAGAACGCCTGCATTTGCGGATTCCAATGTCAAAATAATTGTTAGTTTCAGTTAAACCTAAAAGTGGTTAAATAATTTTAATTAAAATTAAAGTTTAAAAATAATCAATGCCTAAATGGAATCTTATTTGAATGGAATACCGTATTAAGTTACCATCGAATGATAGTAGGTAGTTATAATGCTTCGAGTTTCCCGGAACATTTGAAATTATTTGTCCTTTTGCTGAGAAGTCTGATTAATGCGTGAAGCTGTCAATTTGGTCTGGATTTGCTATGAATTTAGATTGGTTCAAATTCTATTATTAAGAGTTACAGGTTGTTTCATGTTTTAAATCCATGGGCTGCCACAGCTTGAAAAGTAATTTATTATCTAGGCTAATAACCGCTAACTAATTAATCAAAATTGACAAAGACAATTGTGCATTTTGACTCCCAAATTTCGAAAATTACAAAATGTGATAGCAAATAAAATGAGACAAAGCTGACAGCCTACAAAGAAACTGTCTGACATATTTCTAAATACCATAAGCATCTAAATGCAATAAGACTAGGAAAAATGAAAACGCGAAAAATTAGGTGGAGGGTAGGGTATCATAATTTCATTTAAGGAATCATTAAATGAATAATTAAATGGAGGGTTAAAATTTAAATTAATGAAGGTGTCGTCACTTTATATTTGAAAACCGAAATTGTTGTCATTTACAACAACAATTACAACAAATAATACCAAGCAAAATGGGACAGTACTAAGAATCTTACTCCCAGTACTATTTAATGAGCAAATTGCATTTCATGGTAAGGTAGACAATATGAGGTTCCATTTAAATTAATCAAGTTATAGTCAATGTTCTTATTAGGTTATAATACATTTTTGTACATCCTATATAAGGTGGGAATTGTATTATGCTTGATATATAAAATATGGTTTAGTGTTACACTTTACTCTAAATTTCGCTTTAATAATTTAAATATTTCTTAGATATATTAAAAAAATTAGGAAATAGGAGGTTACATTTATTTTTTTAAATTTTTCAAAGAAACTTCCACAGGCTACTGTAATATTTTTACAAAACTTCTGGATTCCTCCTGCGTCAGTTTTTGCTGAGTCGAACTTGGTGACGTTTCGCCGATCATCCTGTTGGCTTCTTCAGAGCTTGACTGAAAGTCACGTCAAGTTTCAGTGAAGGTTTGAAGAAGTCAAAGCAAAAACAGACGCAGGAGGAATCCACAGGTTTTGTAAAAAGCATACACTAATTTTGTAATACCCAAAAATGCTACAATACACAGAGATTTTTAGTTGAAAATACATAGACGACTGTGATACTTTTAGCATTTTTGTTACAACCTATACAATAGGGAAGTAATTCGGATATCCTAAAAATGAGACTTTTTAAACTTCGTGTAACCTTGTATAAGCCCGTAAACACGCAGATCTATTAAAGCTTTCTCAGGATTTAGATACCAACTCATATTTAGCTGAGAGAGCAAAGCAATATCATCATGTTCGAGGTTAGTGGCCATGGAGATCGCCTGACTTCACACCAGTGGGTATTTTCACTGCCAAAGTTTACAAAGAAAATTTCGACAATTATTTTGTAAAATTAATACATTTTGACAGGTACGAAATGTTTAAAAAATATTTTTTTGGATCGCTCTATACTACCCACCCAATTCTAACCGAAATAACTTATTTTTATTTAAACTTAACTGAATAAAAGATAAATAAAAAGTAATTGCGTTACGCGACGTTAAAATTTCCTCAACGAAAAGTTGAAAGGTCGTGGCACTATCAGTGTCCCATTTTTATCACCAACAGAGGTTTTGTGCCCAATAAATTTCGTATCTCGATTCGTTTTTGAATTCCTACCGCCACCCGTAGATTACATTTCGGATTTAACGGTTCGCTCTAAACCAACCTCTGTCGAGGAAATATGTTTCTTGGCCGGTTTAATTTTAGATATTTTTACGGCGTTCGCCCACAAGAACTCCCGTTCTTACGTCGTACAAGGTGTGCCCCTATATCGGAAAACGGACCTTAAAAAATGCTAAGTTATTATTACAGTTAGAAAATTGTAGTTCTCGCATTCCTTTTTTTAAAAACCACCAACAAAATGTGCATAGCTCTCTTTATAACGATGGCGTTTCTCTTTGTTATTAGAGGCGGCGACAATGTCAAATTTTCTCGATGATATTTATAATTTTGGTAACCTTTCACAGATACACTTCTAAAAACATAGTAAATTCAGACATGAATTTTTAGATTAACGTGGTAAATCTATAAGCATTTTTAATTTCAGTAATTTAAAAAACTCCCAGGAATTGAATTTTGTAAAGCAGTTTTTGTTAGTTTGTTAGATGCTTACAATACTGATAATCTGTATTCTCCGCTGATTGTTAACCTATCGTACCAGAATTTTATGCAACGGTATATAGTTTTCAGCAGTGACTCAACACTTATTGATCTTATTTTTTCAAATGGAGCCAGCTTAAATTTCTAAAGTAACGTCGATATTTAAAAACGGAGACCCTTAGATGGTCGACAATTATCGTCCTATCTCTATCATTGTTGTTTTCTCTAAAGTTTTTAAAATCCTGTTAAAAGAGAGGATATATAAATTTGTTGAAGTAAATCAATTACTCGACTCTGCCCAGTTTAGTTTCAGAAGCAAGTCCTCTACAACTAGAGCTTTGATGAGGGTGGTGGAGGACATAGTCGGGGGCAGGAAAGGAGACAACACTTAATGATTTCATAGTGCGACCTCTCAAAGGCTTTCGACTGTGTTTCTCATCAGATTCTGTTGAGCAAGCTTGAATTTTATGGAGTGCGTGGTGTTCCACAAAAACTTTTTAAGTCCTATTTAACAGATAGACAATCGTTTGTGAGCGTAAACAACAATAAGTCTGATTTGGCTTGCCTTGAGTTTGGAGTACCCCAGGGCTCCGTTCGAGGACCTCTCCTTTTTATTATATACATAAATGATATTTGCCAGTACATGATGCCTGATACTGAGATTGTGCTGTTTTTCTGACGACACAATGTTTATTAATTCAAACAGGAACATCACTACCCTGAGTAATATTGACACATATACTTTATCTAAGGTGAAAGCATGGTTTTCAGCAAATAATCTACAACTTAATGAAGCTAAAACGAAGAATTTATTAGTGTCTAGTAGCAGTAGGTTGACATGTGGCACGGGATGCAAGATTCTGGGCGTTACCTTGGATGACACTCTGAATTGGTCAGAACACATTGGCGAGCTAAGTAAAAATCTTTCAAATATTCATTTTCTTTTGCGTCAGCTTCGTAGAATGCTAAGTTTTGATGTATTGAAGTCAACTTACTTTGGTTTATTTGACTCGCGTATAAGCTACGCCACCATACTGTGGGGTAACTCCTTTTATGCCATTAAAATATTTAGGATGCAAAAAGAGTCACTACGGATAATTACAAATTCAAATTTCAACGAACACTGTAAGCCATTTATATTACAAAGTGTTCTTGAGATACTCTCCAAGACCAATAGTTTGCCGAGGGGTTCTGATTCTCATAGGTATGACACCCGGAGTGCAAATAATATCGTGCTTCTGAGATACAGGCCGCAAAAATCAAAACTCTCCTTATATAAAACTTTATCACGCATTGCCACTATCTTTTAAATTATTAAATATAAAATTAAAAGTTTTCTTCTAAGTAAGGGCTATTATAGCGTTGGTGAATTTTTTGAAGAAAACATCGGTAATGACGTGTTGCGGGGCGTTGTGCATATATTATATTTTAATGATTGTTTTGTGCTATATACATATAAATTTATTTTTTGTTGTCGTCCTGTTAGGTTTTATTGTGAAGTTATATACGTTGTATATCTACGTTATATACAATTTAATGTTAGCATATACCTACATATATTGAATTAAAAAAAAATCCCTTCTCGGAAATTGGAATGGAATTTATACGTGAGGCTGGAAGTAATAAAGGCTTGTCATTTAAGAACGCATGATTTAATTTCAGAAAAGGAAACTATGAAATAATTATTCATGAAATGTGGACTAGTTCAGCGAGCTTCAAAATAGACGTCTAAATAACTGTGTTGAATTGTTTTACTCCAAAATGTATGAGGTCGTT